TCTATCTATCTATCTATCTATCTATCTATCTATCTATCTATCTATCTGCATATGTATAATCTGAAGCCATGGTACATTTATCATCTGCATCCCAACACACTCAGGTTACGCCGTTATTTTTGACTGATTCAACAGTAACGTTTCTACTCCTCACAGAGGAGGTGTCGTCCATCTCTCAGGGTCTTTATTTGCGTTTGATGAAAATAATGATGCATGTCGTGTCCCCCTAGCACCGTCCAGTTGCAGGAAATAGCTGACAGCAGGAATGCTCCTTCTCTCTCCTCATCTGTCTCTTTAGCAGCGAGCTCCACCGTCGGTTGGCTGGCTCCCTCCTTTACACAACAACTTCCTGTAAACAAGTCGTGTTGCCAAGCACCCTCCCATCCTCCACCTCTGCTCCCTGGGGATCTATCTTTGACCCCCTCATGCACCAGAACAATTGCTTTGAGCCCTTTTGAGAGGGTCAGTGCAGCATTTTCAGGAGCATTGGCCCTGCAGTTTGAAAGGAGGCTTTAACTAACTGCTGGTGCGATGTGAGATAAAGTTCAGGAAATGTTTCCTGTGACGAAGATGTCTTGACATTGTTTGTAGTTTCTGCCCAGCAGACCTCCGTTAATATTCAAAAGAGGAAATAGTGCCGCTTGAAAACGATTGACTGACAGGCGACAACAACAAGCATCTTGGTCACTAGTTTTCATTTGTCTATTAGTGGTCCAGTCTTTCCACATTAGGCCATTTATTCCTGGACCACAGTGTTGTATATATATAGATAATATCAGCTCCGGGCCCTTTACTCTTTCAGATGTCACTATATTTCTCTGCAAAAAGAAAAAAAAGGAGCGACCCACACACGAGCACATGTTTATTTTTACGTACCACTTGGAAGGTTTCACATCCTGAGTCTCTTTTTTTGTTAATGCTCCAGCCTCTTTCTATGTTAGCGGTGGCCTTTGTATGGTGGAGCTTTTCATTTCTGGGTTGTAACTAAATGGGAATAGCCATAGTGAAAGCTCCAGTTTTCCTGTACAGTGAGCCTTCGGCTCTTTGCTGTGTTTGTGGAGCAGTGTCAAAGTGTGTTATGAGTTGTGATAGAGTGCATTGTCCTTCAGCGGTTCAGAACAAGGACGGCCATCAGCACACTCTGGCTTGGACATGTCAACGAAACACCCACACACATATCAAGATACAAGGTTTCCCAGAAGAGCGAGGGGACCGTTTTAGGACAACTTGTGTGTTTTCTGCATGATCGTTGTGGCTGATCTTTCTGCTTATAGAAATAGTGTCATCAGCCTGGTTGGATATCAAAATGAGCTCCAAATACTCTGTACCCGTCACACAAAAGAAGCCAGCACAATGTGTTTTTTTGTGCTACTTTGTGTGAACTGAGCCTTTAACATAAGCAGGCATGTGAGGGATGTTTTTCATCTCAGATTTCCTCTCTGGTTTTGATCCAAACAGTTGTTCAAAGAGCAGTTTAGCTCCCGACGTGGCAAGACTGTAGTTTTCTGTGATTTGTCGAGGTGTTTGTCGACTAAAAATGTGTGCTCTTTGGGCTGGGAGCGTCGGGTTCTCTGGCAAAACCCTGCCCACATGCTGTGCTAGCTATGCCGCTTAGACTGGGTTTGTTGACAGTCCTCCGCAGTGTTTACTCTGGAGATATAACCTGTCAGATGTGGTGAGTTTTTTTCAATTTTTTTTATTAGCCGGCTTTATGAAAAGCTCTCAAGTGCAATAGTTCACCCGGACTTTCATGAATCTGTGATTCAGAGAGGGAGATGCTGAAGTTGGGAGCTCCTGTCGGGAAGAGATTATTTTAATTCACCGTAATGTTCAAGCAAATACACATTACTGTCACAGGCTTGCAGTTCCAGAAATCTGACTTCACGCTGATAACACAGGGTGCTGTGGAGGTGTAGTGAGTGTACCTGTTCAGACAGAAGGACAGAGGAATCTGGATCACCTGGTTTTTGATGGATAGCAGAATTATAGTTTGTTTGTTATCAGGATTATGCTTATCAGAGTACTGGACCTCCTTCTTTCCACACTGTCTCTAACTCCGTGTTTTTGGTCACTTGCATACCCAGCAGTGCTGTCATAAAAGTTTTGCTTGCTGTATAATTCGGTGCTTTGGTGTTTGCCGTTTATGCAAAGTTTTGATTGTCCTGTATCTTTCTTGTTTGTCCAACAGGTGGGCGGAGGGTTTGCAGACAAACATGACTGCCAACAAGAGTTCGAAGGCTGTGCCCCGTGGAGGAGGGGGTAAAGCGCCCAAGGACGTCCCTGACAGGTCGGTGACATCGGGGACAGGAGGGCAGGCCTGTTAGTGTGACACGCTTTCAGAGTTTCTGTAATGTCGTAGTCGAAGCTCATTACTTTCAACCGTGTCTGTAGTGGGTAGTCTTTGTTCATTCACTACCAGGAAATAAAGCCAATGATTGTCACTCAAAGCTTTTGCAAGTGCAATCCTGTTTCCTGAGAAAGAACCCCATCCAACCCTCAACTGTGAGTATTAAGCTTGTGTTAGCATGTTGAGAGCTTAAAGTGGCATGTTGGGAAAGAAAAAGTAAGTGGAAATATGGGATAAATGGAGTATCTTTTTTTTTCAGATTTTCCTTTTTCTGCCCGCAGAAAATATTTATCTTTGGATAAGTCAAAAGCCAGTGTAGTCCCTTGTTATCACCGCCTCATTTTGATCCACTTCTCTGTTTTTGAGTGAGGAGATTGTTGATAATGGTTCTGTTTTTGGGCGCTAAAACGGAAAGCTGAAATATTATTTCCCAGGGGAATGTTGCTCCTCACTTTTGTCATTGTTTGTGCTGATGAGCTGCCATTCAGTGTAAAGTCATCTCCAGCAGCCGCCTGCTTGTTGTCCGATCAGAAAGCATGAAACAAAATGCAATGTGTGCACGGAGGGCCTTCATCTGCTGGTAAATGTCCATGTTTACACCATCACAGCAGTACAAAGCTCTGTCATCATTCCTCTGCCATAATGACTGTGCCTTTAGCCCTGGCCTCTTTTAATATACCGACATGCCATCTGAGCAAAGCCTTAATGGCAGTTTGTGCTCCTCCTGGAGTCGTCTTTACACAGAATCATGAGATTTAAAGATTATGAGACACAAAGCAAAGATGCTCTTTGTTGGAGGGGGGATTTATTTGGATGTTAGATGTGTGACATAATTCTTGACTCAAACGTGAAGTAGAGATGACTTTGAGGGGCGAAGTAGAAAGACATTGGTCTATTCCTAAGTCCCTCTTTTGATTTTCTGCAAAGTAATGACTGCAAATTTAAACAAAACTGGAATTCTTTCGCCGATGTGCTTTTAATTAAGTTTTGTATCCCTAATTATACATCATGGTTCACCCTCACAATAATATGTACCTCAGAGATTTCATTTTAACCCAAAAAGCCATCCAGAGAGATATTTTGGCAACAGAAATGCTGGCAGAGCAGTGTTAAACACTGTCTTAAGGGTCTCTTACATTGTAGAAATGCACATTCCCCATATTCTCTCAAGCCTCCAAAGCCCTCAAACATGTGCTGGAGTTGTACATAAATTAACAAGTGACAGGCAGCTGGTAGATGATAAAGTTTGCACATGTTGAATTGCAGTTGTAGCAGTGCTTGGTCTGTAAGCAGTCTGTTCCCTTCATCCTGGTCAGTAACGGGAAGTGGCTTGTGGTTGGCATGCCCTGGAAGCCTGAGTGAAAGCCAGAAACCAGGTTGTGACTGGCATTCGGATGGTTGTACAGTACTGTACGTGTGGCCCGTCCAGCTGAAGCTGACAAAAATGGGCCTGTTTTTATAAGCGTGATCCAGACCACTAGAAACCTCTGTGTGTAAAGAAAAAATAACAGGAGGAAAAGGAAAGAAATCAGCACATATTTGATATTTTCGGCTCATTTAGAGGTCTTCTTGTGGCATTAGCAGTAATCCTCGCCCATGTTATGACTGACTGTCATCGAGTTAAAGCTTCGAAAGAAATCAGGATAAAATCTGTCTGCAAGTATTTAAAGATTTAGTTCAAAGTGACTTCAGTCAAACCAGTGTTTGAAGCTAAAGTCGCTGGTGCACGCTGTGTGATTACCGGAAAGGAAACTCATAAAGCAGAGAGTTTGAATATCTACCTCCAGATAACGTTATTACTTACTTCTACTTGCATAAATGGAACCATTGTTGAATACTAATTGCGCTGAGCTTTCATTAACCATCTGTTGTGAAAATAGAAAATGTTAAACCGAGCAAAAATATACATTCGTGATTACCTGGATTTAAAAAAGTACGGTTTGTGGTATAATGTTACATCTTGTTCTGGTCTCAGGCAAAAGCATTTCCTTCAGAGACAATGTTCCTTCTCAGGATTCCTTCAGTAGTCACACTTACTGGCAGAAGTTCAGTTCAGAGTTTTGCCAGGAAGCAGAGGATTTACATTTTCCAGAAATTCTACACTCTGAAATAGTGCAGCACATGTGCACTGCTGATATAAATCCACATGGTTTCATTAACTATGTTTGACTGGTTTTGAGTTTAAATTTGAACGGATAACATTTTTTATGCAACAAAAAACAAACAGAGGGTTTTAGAGGGAAACTTAAGTTTTTCCTGCCCCGCATTTACGCGTTCGCCAGAGCTTCCTGGTAATTTGATTGATGCTGTCATCGTCACTCTAGAAGAGAAGCTGAAAACAAAGAGCACTAAGCATAAAGGGACGAGAATCAATAACAGTAGATATTATAGGAGAATAAGCAGAGAATTGTGAGATAGAGAAGAGATTAAAATAAAAAAGTTTGATTAATCAAAAGGAGTTCAAACAAAGGGAGGTCCCGAAGAAAGGGACAACGAACACAAAAATTTAAGGAAACAAAACACAAGGAAACACAGGAAAGGATGCAGGATAGACAAACTTACACAAAAACAAAGGGAAAGTCTGGGCTCTAAACAGACTGAATTAAACGGGGGAAAAGTCATAGGTGTGACCAGTTAGGTCACAGACAATCAGAAAAGTGGGATGGTATACACAGAACAAGCAAATATAACCAGAGACAAAGGAAATTGAAAAGAAAACAGGAAGCATTTGAAGGTGGAAACTACACAGTCCTAAGACTGTTTTGTGCCATCTAAAGTTCTCTGTCCTACTCGTGACGAGAGCAGTTTGTAAAGATGTTTCAATTCTTGGAATGTAGTTGAGGGACAAAGGAGCAACGGGCTGGGAGCATCATGACGACAAATCATGTTGGAATTGGAACGGACACTTATGAGAGAAAAATGTTTGTTGTAAATGTAGGTTTGTCAGACTTGGTTGCATTTGAGATGAAAGCTTTAAGGTAAGAATGCCTATTTTAAAAAAAAAAGCATTTCTCTGTGCTCATTTTTATTCTTGTTCTCCTTTTTTTGTTAATTGGCGGGGGGGAATTTACAAATGCCTCAACTCCATAGAGAGCGGAATTAAAATGCAACCCATCTCTTTAAGGTGTAACACTTTCATTTATAAGTGTGGTAATTTCACTGTTGACTGTACTGAGATGGTAAAACTGAGATTTACTTCCACTTTAGAATAAAAAAAAAAATCTTAATCCAGGCTCTGAATACTATTGCCACATTGTGAATATGACTGTCCATTATGGATTCTGCTGAGGGTGCCATTTTGTTCTTTATGTATCAAAGAGGATCTTGTTGATGACCCTCAGACATCAGTATGAGAAGGGATAGAAATTCTGAAGGCACACAGGTTATTATTATTATTTGAATGAATAATTACATTTAGCCTTAAAGGCTGTGGGAACAGATTCTGTAAAACAGTCATAAACAAACAAAACCTAGGGCTCATGTACTGCTCATGACTGTAAGCATACGGACCTAAAATAAGTATTGATTTCTGATCATTTCATCTGAACAAATTAGTTCTTTCTCTATTTAGGAGGCGTTTTTTCTTTCATTGTTGGTAATTATATCTGAGATTGGGAAAGAGACCTTTCAGAAGTTACCTAATGGAAAATCTAAGTGAATCTGAGTATTTTAAAACAAAGCTTGTATATTTCTATATTTATATGTACATTTGTATAGATAGGTATATATATCTATTGATAGACTGTTGGGGGGAAAACCATCTGTCGGACTTTGTTCACCAAGCATAGTAGTTCAGGTAATAGATCACCTATCCGGTCATGAGCTCTTGCCTTGACTCTCACTCTCACTCATAAGGAGAATTACACACATCCATCACCCTTGCAGCTTGCAGGCAGCCATCTGCTGTAAGGTTCTTTCCACCCCGGAGCAGGAAGAGTGAAACCAGTCAAGGGCAGATAGGTGTGAAGGCGGATCTGTCCCAACCTGCAGCGTTGGATCACAGTCCAGAGCTGTCATCTTCCTCCTCCCATAAGTCGTTATTCTCACCATGACTATGACATCGGATTTCTCAGCGCTTAGCTCTCATAATGGTTAGTCAGCTTTGGAATAATAACACGTTTTCTGGGAGACTGAGTGCTTGAGAGTTTGGGATTTGTGTGGTAGGTTTGCTTTTTTTGTGGAAATCACAGAAGAGTTGAGCACCATGAGAAAACGTGTGTGTAAGTGGTAGATGGTGGAGTGAGTAGCGAGCGTGGGACTGCCGCAGGGCCTCGTATCACTTAGCTGCAGGAAACAGAAAAGGCTTTGAGAATCTGAGAGCAGCGGCAACGCTTTTACAGGTAAGAGCACTTCAATAAATCTTCTTCAGGTTTAGTGGTTTCTGTGTGAGGTCTGCTGTGAATCTCCTCAAGTTATTTTGATTATGTGGAAAAATCCACAGTGGCATTTTAATGTAGTCTGTATTTCCCTTGGCCTTTGTCTTCATCTGATGTTGCCAAAGATAGAATACTTTCCTGTGGTTCTTTTAACCACGTGGCTCAGGTTTTCATTCTGTCTCTGGAAGCACATTCAAAACTCTCAGATGAGTCCTTACTTTGTTGTCCCATCTGTTCCACATTAAGTCTTTCTGTTACTCCTCTCTGCTGCTGGGTTGAACGGGCAGCCTGTTGGCAGCTCTTGTAATTAAATGGTTTATCAAAATCTGTCAGGTTGACACGTGTTCTATCCTCCCCCCCTTCCTTTTGTCTTTACATTTGTGAACTCCATTCTCTGCTGGCTTTCAGGTGCAAGTCCACCTCCCAGTGCCCCGCTCTCTCGGCCAGCCAGGTGCAGGGTCAGCAGCCCCCCCTCAGCGACAGCGAGCCCTCCGGCAAACAGACCAGATACGTCAGGACCGACGGGAGGTTCCTCCTGCGCTCCGGATGGGGCGGCAAGACGGCTAGCCTGTGCAGCGGCGCGTCTCTCACAGGCGACGCGGACCCCCAGGGCCGCCTCTCCAAAGCGAAGAGCATCAGCTGCCTGGAAAACAGGCTCTCCATCTACAAGCCCCCGGCGCAAGGCCAATCCTGCCCGGAGGCTCAGGACGTCCAGGAGACAAAAGAGAAACAGGAGGATCCGCCTGCAGCAAAAGGGCTTAATGGTAGGCCTCTGAGCTGGAGCACACTCTCCCTGGGACCTTCCTCTAACCAAGGCCACAAGCGCACCCTCTCTCTCACTCACTCCGGAGCAGGCGTCCCCCCCACCACAATCCGAAAAAAGATCTCAGAATGGGAGTGCAAACGGGTTTCTCTGCCTAGGATGAACTTGTGTGTGGAAAAAAGAGGGGTGGAGTGCGTGGGGGGTAGCGAGGGCTGCCCGAGTTTGCTCTCTTCGCCCTGCAGTGAGAAGACGTTCGACTTTAAGGGAGTGCGCAGGATGAGCACGGCGTTCTCCGACTGCTCCTTCGCAGCCACAGACGAGGAGGAAGGCGTTTCAGAAAGAGACGGTCTAGGCCGTTTCCAGAAAAGGAAAGGCAAGACAGAGGGTTCGGGAGCTTTCGTCCGCTCCCTGTCTGCTCGTAAAGAGACGTCAGCAGTCCTCAACAGGATACAAAAGATTGAGCAAGCCCTCAAGGAGAATCCCAGCCCTCCCCCTCCACGTTATCTGAGTAACTGCTATGCCGCAGACAAGACAAGACAGAGGTCCTTTGTGATTGGTGACGACTTGGACAGTACATGCGCCAGTAAGCGCAGCAGCATTTGCTCAGTGGCCACTGAACCAGACACTGTTTTAGTGCCAGATAAGCTTTCTAAACTCAGACAAAGATTTAGTGTGAGCTCCACCAGGTCTGAAAGCCCAGAACCACAGAGCCAGCACACCTCTGTCGGCATAACAGTCAACCCCTTACCTAAACCCAAACGCACTTTCGAGTACGACGCCAAGCGGGACCAGAAGGGTGGTTTGCCAGCCAATGGACTACATCCAGACAGAACTTCAGAGTCTCCCCCGCCTCTGCCGTCCACTCCAGCCCCCAGCATGTCCCGCACAGCAAAGAGCGAGGGGAGCACCCCCATGAGAATCCCGGACAGGTGAGGCAGAATCCTGGGCCCGCTTTTGCTCAGCGTTCGCGTTAAATTTGAAATCCTAAATTTTTATGGCACACGGTCTCCCACCAGGGGGTCAAACACGCCCAGGAGGAGGTTCGGTTTGCGGAACGTGAAAAATGAACCTTTTGATTAATAAATAGAGGTCACCTAAAGAAGGGTTCTCTTTCTCGTAGTAACTGGCTGCATTAAAATGAAATAAAAAAGTTGTTTTTTTCTTTTTCTTTTCATAATTCTAATCTATGGGAACAGGCTTCTTCCCTTTTTTGTGTGAGGGTGTTGCCTTTCCAGATCACCCCTATGTAAAATCCTTTAACATTCATCCACTGGACTCTGTTTAACATTCCTGTGGTCCGAGCAATTTCAGGCCAGGCTGTAAAACCGCAAGCTGCTGATTGTGACCATACTGTAGATCCTCGCATTCAATGTAGGCCAGCGCTCATTCTCTGCCGTTTTTCTGAGTTGTGATGCACGTCGTGCAGCGCTCAGTAAGATGTCTTCATATTTACCGGTCGCTTATCTGGAATTTCCTCTCATTCATCATAATGTTTCTGGTGTTATCATCTAGACTCCAGCTCCAAGGTTATTCAGTTACTTTGTTTTTTCTTTCTATCATACCCCTGCGTCTTTTCAGTTAAAACACAAACTCACTCTTCCTCTTCCATTTTTGTCTAGAGAGTCATGCGAGTCGGAGGATGCTGCCAGCTTGCCGTCTTCATATCCGTCCTCACCCACAGAAAACGGGGCTCTGACCACAGAAACACAGAGTCAGTCCAACATCAAGAGCACTCAAGAGGAGAGCGCCTATGAGGACATAGGTAAGCCACTTTCCTTCCTCTTTGAGTGCCACATGTCGATTGGAACAAAGACCTCTGTAATACATTGGTGGTGTGTATAAAGTGGGAGGATGGGAAAAAAAAGATTTATTTTTAAATGAACCAACAGTTTAGTAATTTAAGCCTGAACAAAACTGCCTCAGAGCCAATAAAATATGGGACACTGCGCAAAGTCATAATTAAAAACCGAATGCAATGGTTTTTAAATCGCATCTACCTTTGCATCATTCAGAAGAAAGACAGAAAGAAAGAAAGTCAAATATAAAAAGGGACAGCAGGTTGAAGAAAGGATACTTCTTTTAACAACAGTTCCTAAAGGTTTTGGAGGTTTGGGAACTGAGTCTTGGGACTCCTACCACAAATCTTAGTTCTAATAGATGCAGTTTGAGGTTTAGCATCTGTAAATCTGTAAGGCCAGCCTTCCCCCCAGAAAGACCTCTGCATAGCAGGATAAGTAGCTCTAAAACCTTTATGTACACTTCAGCATTAATGGTGTCTTTACAGTTAGGTAAGTCGTTTAAATAAGTACTAATGCACATATATAGGCTTTTACAAGCCAGATTGACCATGAGTAGCCAAGATTTCCCAAAAATATTGTAACGGTTGGATTTGTCTGATCTCAAACAGGACTGCACAGTGTTTTGGTGATTAGCTCTGTCGCCTCACAGCAAAAAAACACCAGAAACTAAAATACATGATTAGATTCTAAGCAAGGCCAGTCAGCGTGATTTCCAAGTGCATGTTTAGGTTCCTTATGGGAACTCGGCTGTCCCCCACCTTTGGATACGTGATCCTATTTTCACATGAGGAATGAGTTTGAAAGTGTGTGATTTCAATGGTTTACTTGAGGTTGTGATTATTACATAATTTAATAATTCAGTTTTATTGATTTCAGTTGTAAGTTCACCTGAATCATGACATGCAGATTAATTTATAAAGCCAAAAAAAGACACGGTCCTAATGCATCTTTGGTGTTAAATGTAAAAGTACCTTTTATTTAAGGTCATAATGGAACAGTGGTGTTATTCTGGTGGCTTTTTTTGCTCACTTAGAAACTAGTTTATTATAAATATAATATAAATATTAAAACAAATCTGTGAATAAAGTAATTGTGCAGAAGCAGCAGCCAGGCGTTTGGCTAATGTTGCTGGCTCATGCAGAGTGCAGTGAGTGGATCCTCCTTCACCTCCATCTGGCTCATGTAAAAGTGTGAACCTCGGAAAAAGCCTCGCTGCCAGTCAACACTCAGCCTCAGATTAAGATTAATGGACGATATGCTGTGCTTTACTGTCCACATTCTTCGCACAATGCTGTCCACATGCTCCTGATAAATAACTCTCACGCTGAAACTATTTTGTCCTAGAAGATGTTGTAATCAATAAAAGCGGGAGCTGACAAAATAAAGAGTTTTTGATTGTGAAATCCTGAACTACGCAGTATAGTTTGTTCTCAGAGATGATGTGTGCCTGAATTACTGGACATGTTGAAGAGCCAAATTCCTTTCCACTAGCAAATGACCCCAGGCCTTCTGCCCAGTTCAGCTGCCAACACCCCCAGTGCATATTTAATGTGGTGAAAATGTGTGTCAGTGTGAGTACGCAGTCTCATGATGAAGCTGTATCACATGCAGTAAAAAGTTTACTTTCTCTGGAATATTCTTCTTGGTAAAGGCTTAGTGATTACCAAATAAGGCTTGAATATTGTCGTATATGTAAGCGCACCTTTACTTCATGGTCCATTTTGAGCGTTTTTTAAATCAAATCCGGGCTCAGGGTCTCATGAGCGCTCAGTGTGTTTTTGTTTTTTTCCCGGTTTGGGATGTGCAGTACAAGAGTCAGTGTCAGGGCATGACCGATTTTCTTGCGAATCTCAACAAAGCTCCCATTGTTCATCCAGAGCCCTGAGTGTAGACTTTGCAGTTTGGAGACGCACTCTTGACAATCTTTATTTGCTCTTAACGAAGACTAAAAAGACCTGCTCCGAGTAGAATCATGAAGCATATCATGACTGAATGAAAAATGTTGAACCCCCACCTCTCAATTTTATCGCAGATGCTAGCAAAAAAACAACAACCTTAGAAATGATTTTAGTTTTGCCTGTGCATTTTACCTTTTGGCCTCCTAAGCAAATACTTAAATAGTGAAGTTCTAATGAATAAGATCTCGGACCCCTTCACCCTCACAGAAAACATCTCCTTAATTTCTGACCCTAGTCACATTTTTTTTTTCTGTCACAGCATGGGACCCTTAATTTCTGGTTTAGTGTATCCAGATTTGCATGACAGACTAAGATGTTGAGGGACATTTTAATTGTTTTATTCTTTGAACAATTCCCGTCGATATCGGTGTGCCAGTGAGTGACGTATTTACGGGCTTGTGATTAATGCCCTGTGCAACAGTGATTCACCTGTCTGCTCTCATTCTTCTGAATAAGTGTGGGTCACCGTGATGAGTGTGTGAGAGCGGCTTAAACAAATATTCAGAGACAGCTGCGCAAATAGAGGACGCATGAATTTGTCATTCTTTGGGGTAAATATGCCAAAAAACATGCATTCAGTTATTTCCACGATGGCTTGAAATGCACTCAAATGTTTCTGTTAAGCTTTAGCCTGTTTCTTTACTCACATTTGTCTTTAGTGCAGCACCACAATATCCACTGTACCCACTATACCCACAATACCTCTTTACAAGTTAAACTAATACAGGCATTGTTGGTAAAGTTTGTCGTGTGCCTCGCCCAGCCCGGAGAGTCCATTGTGTACACAGAAATGTACAATCACAGCATGCAGTTGAGGTGTGTCCACTCCCTACAAAAAGCTGCATGTCAGGCAGTGTGTCAAAGAGAGCACTGAATGTTTGTAATCAGAGGAGTAGATTAGTACCTTGCAGTACATAAGCAGCTATGCAGACATATTATTTTCTCAGCAGGTTCTCATTACAGTATTGCCACAGTTTAATGGAGTCGCAGCACAATGTGGGGCCAGACTGAGCCCTCTTATTCCACTCCTGAGCTTTAATGATGCACAGAAAATTACTCCACTCCGCTAACTTAATGTGTGACACAATATAAGGCTGTGGAGAAGCAGTGTATGTTAACTGTGTGTGTACCGCATGGGAGTGTGCAGGGAAGGTTCGATGATTAAATTAAAATAGATAAGTGAACAAAGCTCTGGCTGTCTTTGAGTCTTCAATGTTTTTTTTTTAAACAGATGCAGTCATTGAGACCAACAGAATTTCCACAAATATACCCAGGAATAACTAAAGCAGCCAGCAAACAGAATCCTTTTTGGTTTAGTTTTTTCAATCTCTGTGGGCAGATAACGGATTTTCTTTCTTTTAAAAGTTCAACTCATGCATTTAAACACCATCTGGCTCTGTTTTTATTCTTCTCTGTTGTTTCTTCTCGTTCTCACAACCTTTTTCAGACCCTGCCAAAAGAGCTATTCTCAGAGTGAAGTCTGAATAGACACGGACTGCGGTGTTACACAAGTTCTCTCTTTATTTATGTTGGGCCGGTGCCAGGTGACATCATCGAGCGCTGTTCAGTGCTCTGTAAAGTTAATTTTCTTCCCTTTTTCGTTGTCATTGATTTCTTATGTATAGAACAGTAGCAACATCTGTGCCGATTGTAGTCCAAAAAATCAACTTACCATTGAAAATCAATAATGAGATTTCGATTTGTTTGAATAAATTCGATTAAACGCACACAAACAACTGGCTTACCTTTCTGTATTCAATGACGTGTAAATATATACATAAGAAAAGCGATGAACATCATCATGTATTTGTACGATAAATAAATGCTCGCTTGAACGCGTGTATTGCTCGGATGGCTCAGAGGAAGACCCTCGCCTTCCTCTGTCTGCAGACAGATCGCATGCCTGGACAGTGACTCACCATCAGTGTTGTGTCCAGAAGTTTCAGCTGGGCCAAAAGGGGGCCTGTGGGGCCCACTGCCAATAGTAACTGTTTTGAAAAAAGGGAGTTCAGCCGGGACTGACCTTTGACTTACCTTCCATGACTCATCTCTTTTTGGACTATGCGCGGGGAGGCCCTCCTGTGCCCCGTGACAGCCTTTACCGGCCCTTGTTTACCCTCTGTGACCCCTCAGATTCATCTGTCTTCTGTCAAACACAGTGTCTTTCCATGCTGTAGTGCTGACGCTGGATTTTTTTCTTCATTTCCACAGAAAAGGAGAATCCATATGAGGATGTTGACCTAAAGCGGAAGACTTTTGGTCGGAAGTCTGGACTGTTGGAGAGCAGATCTTGCAGCACTATGGAGAGGAAGCTTAACTCCCCACCTCAAGTAAGTCACAAGCCTGCTGGCATCCACAGCCATAGTAAACACGACAGAGAATTTTTCCTGTGGTATCTAACATCCACTCTCGGCGCGTCATTGCTGAGACCTGGATAAAATCTTTAGGAGAGTCCCACATCTCATTTGTGTTGTTACAGGAAGCACTCTGACATGTTTAGAGCAAGAGATGTACACCGAAAAGCTCATCTGCACATTTGGCTTACTTCCATCAATACTGGAAGCTCTGTTCTCAGTCTGGTCTGTTGGCAGTAACACAGCTCCGCTGACAAGAGTAAATCGGAACAGGAAATGCTGCATCTATCTATGGTGCATCCAAACAAACCTTTGAGCTTTTGATAAAGAAGTCCGTAGATAATTGAACTTTTGCCATTTACGCCATGAGAAGATTGATTCTGAGTTCATTCTGCACACAACTGGAGAAGCATTTGACACTGAAGAAGGCCAAGGACTGATTCATATCTCATCATTTTATATTTTCCTAGATAATCTTATGTTCTTCTAAGATAAGTTTTTCTGGATATAAAAAAAACAATATTTCCCTCTCACTTCACATTGTTCCAGCAGCTCTTGCTCTTATCTGCCTGAAACAGAGTATTTCAGATCCTTATCCCCATTTAAAGATAGGGAAATCCATCAGAGGAATATTGAACTTCTCCATGGAAGCCCTTCTTTGAAAACAGCATGTAAAACTTAAAGGGCAAAAACCTTTAATGGACACTTTGATAATATTTTCCTCATATCATCTAATCTGTGCTCTCTTGTCTGTTACCAGTTGCCTTCCAAACCCAGCAGCCAATCTCTTCGTCTTCCTGGTCCGAGCGACAGGAAAAGCCACCGGATGTCGCAGCTTACGAAGCGCTACAGCCACGATGAAATGCTCCCCATTTTCCACATCGGCCTGCTGGATGATAGCCACTGTAGCACGCTGCCTTCAGACAGGCACTGGAGGATCCCCAAGGTACACACCGCCAGATCCTACACAAACAGCCGCATTAAGTTCCCGCGGAGCTCCCGCCGCGTACTCTTTCCGTTCCTGCCTCACAGACCAGCTCGGGTTTCCGTCTCGATCGAGACAGACAAAGAGCACCTCTGGAAAAGATGTTTCTAAGACACCGTGCCAGAGTGCATTGATTTGCGGTGTGAATTTCAAGCCTCGAGGTGCATTCTTTAAAAAAACGTCCTACGATGTCCATCGGTTTAAATGCAACCTTCAACACGCAGGCCCAGTTTTTCACACAGTTGCTATTGGCACCATTAGACGCCTGCTTGCCCCCCACTTAGGATCAAAAAGAGGCAGGGTTTTTATTTTTAAAAGAGAATTTCCTCTTCCCTCTGTTTACAGCTGGTCCAGAGGATCAACTCCATTTACTGCACTAAACGTGGGAAGAAGAGGCTAAAGAAGCTGTCCATGTCTAATATTGAAACAGCATCTCTCAGAGGTACGGGGGCTCCTCATTCCTTTTATCCGGATAAGTGAGTAAATATTTGTGCCTCGGACTCCCACATAGAGTTCACTCCCTCGTGACATAAACATGTCTGTGAAACTAACCTCTGACTGATAGAATACTTTGTGTCTGTCTAATATTTGTCTTCAGACGACAACAGTGAGAGCGAGAGCGACTCCGATGACAGGTTCAAAGGTGAGTGACCGCAGCTTTCATCTGCAGAGCTCCCCTCTTCTGAACCTCAGTCAGCTCTGAACTTTGGAATTTGGCAAGTGTCGAGAACTGAAACATAAGCAGCGTGCACAGAATATCAGTGTACTATGCAATATTTGTCACGTCTAAAAGCAATGTGAAGGAAGAATATTGTGATTTTAGAGAGCGACGCGGGTGTGTTTAACATCACCACAGGCCTTGACTTTGGCTAATATCCTACAAGCTCTGAGGTTTTACCCCATACTTCTGGATTTTGTGTGAATTATGTTTGTTTCCCTCCTCAGCTCACACCCAGAGGTTATTGAAACTGCAATCCATCCTGCGACGAGCCCCGAGCTACCGTACCCTGGAGCTGCAGCTCCTTGAGTGGCAAGAGAGGGAGCTCTTTGAGTATTTTGTGGTGATTTCTCTGAAAAAGAAACCCAGCAAGAACTCATACTCCCCTGAGGTTACCTACCAGTTCCCCAAGGTACAGATATGAGATATGACTAAAACCTCCTGATGGTTCTGTGACCCACTGCCGACCACTTATTTAGTACCCACTCAACCAAATTGTATTCTGGACTTCAGTAGAGGGTCCCCAGTGTCACCGTGAAGAGAAATCGGCTGTTAAATGTGTTATGATTGAGAAAGGTTTTATGGGTATGAGAAACAGATGTTTCCATTTTTATACTAGAGCCAAAACTTTAAAAAGATGAAAATGACAATGAGAGCAGTAAAGATCACATGTTAACCTATATGCAGTGGGGTACACACGTATGTAATTATACATCCTGGGTGTGTTGGTTGTCTTCAATGTCTGAAAGTACAAATATGAAATGTTCATCAGTTTTTTTATTTTTTATATTTGTCTTCGATTTTAGTTGGTATTCATACTCTGTGCTTTCAATTTCTTAATGGATTTAAAAACATGTTTAGAAAGATAGATATTTAAAAACAAATAATCTTTTTTGTTATATATCTAATAGAAATCAGCTACCACAGCAGGTTGATGTACATATAGAGTATGTATGCTGATACCTGATAAATTAATGGCCAGACTGAGTGTTCATAGCCTCTCTCATCTTTAAAATTTGAGGGAAATATCTTTTGCTACCTTTATGTTAAATACAGACATAAATTCCAAAAGTCAAGACAAATATGTCAATGCCCCTTAAAACTGAAAAAACTACAAATAACAAATGCTCCTTCAGAATGTTACAAGTGTCTGAATAAAGTCACGACCATTGTTGAGTGGCATTTCAAACAATGCTGTCAGTAGTTCTGATGGTGATGACAGATTAATTTGACATCTTTTAAGCTTTGCGTGCCCAGTGATATCAGTGCTCTGTGGGTTTCTGGCGTATGGTTGTGCAGCTAGTCCATAATGTAAAGCTGTGTGGGCTATCACCACTGATAGCTTAGAGCCATGGAGCTTGTTTGCTGTCAAAATAATCTAAATCCTGAATTTTTTTACATGTAAGAATAAAGATTTAAAAGTTTCTGGTACAGCAGAGAGAAGTGCATATCCACCAGCCAGAGGGGAGTTATAGGCCATAGGACAACCATAGGGAGTTTGAAAAGAGTAATCTGAAGAAGGATAAGATGTCTAACACTCCTATCCTTTCGTATTCCCCATCTTTCCTTTCCTTCCATTCCCTTCCTCTCACTCTGACAGTTGGAGAGACCCACCAAACAGATGAGGGAAGCAGAGCAGCGACTCAAAGCTATTCCTCAATTCTGTTTCCCAGATGCCAAAGACTGGAGTCCTGTGTCCGAGTACGCCAGGTACGACCACAAATCCGCCACATATGCTCATATGCACGGAACTCCTTTTTCCTAGTTTTCCTGGCTCTAACATTTGGTAAACATGTTAATAAAACGTGGATGGATTGCAATTTTCAAACAGAAATAACTTTCCTACCAGCAGAACATTCGAAAACAACTGCATGATATTAGGTAGTTCTTCCATTCGTCTAGCCAATTGTTGGGATAAAACCCTTTTTTTTTATTACTTTGCCTGCTAAACCATCCCAAATGTGTTGTTATTTTTTTGTGTTCATTTTGAGTATGTGTTATCTTTGTGTTCATTTGTGGTTTGTTCTGCAGTGAGACATTCTCCTTTATGTTGACCGGGGAGGATGGCAGCAGGAGGTTTGGGTACTGCAGACGCCTGCTGGTAAGCTCCCGTTCAGCTCCTCATACTTTGCACTAGGTTTACGTCCTGCTGTGCCTTGTTTGTTGTTACAGACATTTTTATTTGAACATGCGATGCCATTTTCCTGTGAGGATGTTAGTGTGTTGCATGATCCTCTACTGTGGTAACAGGAAATAAATGATTAAAAAAAAAGAACTGTGTTATTGCTGAGCTAGGTATGAAATGGGATTGGCAGATTAAAATCTGTGGAAAAAATAGCTACAGAGATACACCGCCATTGTAAATGTTGTAGCAGCTGATCAGCATTAGTGTGTGTACAGCCCAGGAAATGGCTCTACATAGTGTTAGTAATAGAATAACAAACATCCAAACCACACATTTAGGAGCAGTGACTTTAGTTCATCACAGACTTTAAGAATGTATCTAATTTCACCATAAATCTTTGATTGTAAATGTATTCTGACAAAAAAAGTAATTCTTATTACACTAAATAGCTGGATTTCAGCCATAATTAATGTAATGAACGTGTAATAACTGTAGATAAAAAGTTAGGATTGACTCATTCAATTTAACAAGCGTTTCTCAAGAGAGGCAATACAAAGAGAAACCATGAAAAATCCAAATGTTGTCATTCCGGAGCCTTTCCCCTCCATAATGAGACTGTGGAGCACTTTGAAGTGTTTGGCTGAGCCTCCCATTTAGCTTGTGGGTAGAGAGCATGACTGTGTGGGATCCTGTCCCTGTGCTGTTGATTTTGTTTGCCATTTGGTATTTTTGAGTGTGTTTTTGCTAGAGCAGCATGCGTGTTTGCCACAGTGTGTGTTGAGAGCTGAGCAAACTTCTTTGTCGGACAAACTTTCTTCGTCCAACAACAACAGCAAAGGTTTTTAGCCCTCCGTTGCGCCTGACGTGCTCTGTTGATCTGAGCTTTACCTCTACAGAAGCAGACTTTAATGAAGGCACAGAGAGGTGAGCTGCTCCCCTCCAATAACTTTGTTTCCTCCCAGATATCTGTCTAGCAGTTGGCAGTAACCGAGCATTCCTGAGGACTTGAATCAAACCCCACACAGTTGATTTAATCATGCATTTGGAAAAGCAGAGGAGAAACAAGAGGAGAAAATTGTATACCTAATATGGACAAGTGGATTGGCTCTTGTTGAGTGCTTGTATTCATTTGTTTCTTTGTGTCTGTGTCCCTGGTATTATGTATGATGCACATAATGACTCATAAGAAAGCAGAAGGCAGTAGATATGATCAGCAGGAGCAGATAAACCACCTGTGTTTAGGAAGGAGTTAACCACATGAAAGGCTTTCACCTTAGATTGCAGATCAAATTAAAACCTCTTTATGCTCCCCTCTGTCGTGGTGGTTCACTGTACTGGTGGTTTTCTTTGACCCATCATAGGGTTTTGCTTTCATATAAACAGATTTCATTTGAAAATTCAATTTAGCCTTTGGCTGTGAACAGAGGTCCTTTGTGACTAAAGAGTGGCCTGAAAAAAAGGCCTTAATCATCTCGTTATCGCAGTTTTGAAAACCACAAATGTTTAGCAGCGAGCCAGGGGTTTTTAAATAATGTGAGCTGCTACCAGAGGCCTTCAATGAAGGAAGAATGCGTTATGTGAAATGGACACTGTAGAACGTCACCAGTTCCCTTATGTAATATTGTCGGGGTGCCTTGTGGCGTAAGCTACAGTCCACAGAGGGCAAACTCTACTGGAACCAGCTGATCTGTTCAAAGAATGGAATAGAACTTCCTGACAGTAGAAACTCCAACTCATCTGGCCAAGTGTGCGGTGTATCCATCAGTGTGTAGGTGTGTAATTAAGAGATGCTCTATGACTGTGTGAATTAATTAATTAATTAATTAATGTGGCATTGCAGAAAGATGCTGTATAAGAAAATTCGATTTACCCAGAATCAATACTTTTGAAACTAAATATATTAAATGATCTGTATTGTGGATAATAGATCATTTTCTAACCAAAGTGTTACCATGTATTGTGCTGTAAATGTACACAACTATTGAGTCTTCTATGGTATTATAAGATACCTTAAAGTTAAGATACTGATGAAGCTGCTGTTTGGTTACTGCAGATTTTCCGAAAAGTTTTCCTTTGTGAATTGGAGGCTTTTTTTTTTACTAAACTCTTTTTACTTTTCTAATATGACTCCCATACATCCCAAGACTTGGTTTAAGTGTAACGCTATACTTTTGCTACAGCGTAGCAAAAGTGTATTTATAGCTGGGTTAAAGAACATCTGGAGATGTATCTGTTCACGTCCAACCTCTGTTTTATTTCTCGTCCAGCCGACTGGGAAAGGACCTCGCCTTCCAGAGGTGTACTGTGTCATCAGCAGGCTGGGCTGTTTTGACTTGTTCTCCACAGTGAGTTCACTCTTGTCCTCCTGCCAAACATATATGCATGTAACACACACACACACACACACACAGACACACATCAGATCAGCCTAAGCCACCTGGCTGTGCGGTGCTGTAGCTGTGGTGAGCCGTCTGACAGCTGACGGAAATGACTTTCAGCCTTACCTCTGCTTATTGGCAGACCTTACTTCTCTCTGTCTTATTTCCCAAGATAATAGTTTCCTTCATTTAGTCTCACTCAGATCAGACCAGCCACTCTCTTTGACTTTTCCATCCTCTGCTGATTACTTTAATAATTCAGCGCGAGTGACTGTTAAAACAAACAACACAGAAAATGTCCAAAATGGCTGCATCCTGAGCAGTTAGTAAACAACTAGCTTGCCCACCGCAAAGTTTGTCTAGTTTTGCTTCGCTTGATATTTTTTAGACTTTCGAGAACATAACAACAGGAAGCTATTTAATAGATGTGCTCATGATCAAGGAGGACGTCAGCGTTTGATTTCGGAGGGAGCCGTGTGTGAGAGAAAGAGACGGGCAGTTGGAGAGATTGAATGCGCTGATATCAGATGACCTCGAAAATGAGCGATTCTCCCAATTAACTTTCCAGATGGGAGACCAAAACATGCAGGCAGACGCTGGGTGGAATTTTCCAATCACACAGGCAGGGGAATAGATTCCATTTGTTATTTGACAAAACAGAAAAACGAATGGGAAGTTTTACACAGCTGCCAGCGCTGAAAAACAATATATTCCCCGTTGCCAGTGAGCTTGATGGTATGTGAAGACAGCCGTGTTCTTCCCTCCCACGTCCAGATCCTGGATGAGGTGGAGAGACGGAGAGGCATCTCGGCAGCGCTGGTCTATCCCTTCATGAGGAGTCTGATGGAGTCCCCCTTTCCGGCACCAGGGAAGATTATCAAAGTAAAGACCTTCCTACCCGGTGAAGGAAATGAGGTCAGAGCGGCTGCCAAAGCACGACTCAACATCTTTTCACTAAATCAATTGAGACCATTAACCCACATGACGCTCAAATCCAGCAGGGCGGGAAACGCGCTCAGTGTTGTGTTTGTGGTCATTCAGGTCATCGAACTGAGGCGGCCCACTGACTCCAGACTGGAGCACGTGGACTTTGACAGCCTCTTCAGATGCCTGGGCGTGCGGCAGGTGATCCGCGTTTTTGCCTCGCTGTTGCTGGAGCGCAGAGTCATCTTTGTGGCTGACAAACTCAGGTACATTTCCTTCAATCCCAGTCCCGTGAGCCGCGTGAATCTTTGACCGATCGTGTCCTGAGAATCCATCAGTGTAACGTTTAACACTATAAAATGATTCAGCTTTAACTGAGAACTGATTGGAGGCTAAATGTTTGCCTGTCCTTTGTTGAAATGGGATTTTCGCTGCTCAACAGCTCAGGAAATTGACATCTCACAATGAGCCAGATGTTTTCAGTGGTTGACAGATCTGGACTGTGGCTGACTGGCTGGGTTCTTACATAATCTCTTGTATGAATATATAATTCAGCATTAAAGATGCGGGTGAGGCTGAATGCATCTCCCCCTCATGTGATACTGTTAATGGCCTATGAACTCTAAGTTGATAACAAGCTTGATAGCTCTTGTCTTTGCCCTGAACACAAAACGTACATGCTTTTGATTGGTGGTTTCAAGATCTAGTTGACATATATTTTTTTCGAGTGAGTGAGCCGCATTCACGGATTGCTTTTTCTGTGTTCCTGAGCCCATAGTTGTTTATTATTGAGTCACTGCTGTCTGCAGTGCTCCAAAAAGGGGCCCAAAGATAACTGCCGTTCTTATTTTTACTCTTGATCTTTGTATGGGTTTTTTTTCAGCACATTTTAACACCATGGACGAGAAACCACAAAGATCTTTATGAGGTTGAAAGTATTACTTTTTGTCCACACGGTCTCTGCCAATGAAGTGAATCTCTCCCATTAAACCCATTTATGTTACTGACCCGTTGCCAGGAAACATAATTAGGAGTGAGATTATCCAGATAGTTTTTTTCTTAGCAATTCAAAGCTTCTCCAGGCTTATATTTCCCTCTCGCAGCTCTTTTCTTTACAGATTTTACTCTCACCACTTTCAAACTTCAAATTTTAGTTGAGCCGTTGATATAAAAAACCATTGTCATTGAATTATTACTTTTCCAATCAAAATCTTATCTTACTGTTTTTACTCGCTGTTTATAGAGCATCCTAACTGAATAAAAGCCACTTTTCTCATGACATATCTCTGACATTTGGAGTTGATTTGAGTGGCTTGATATCTAGGAGGTGTACCCTGCCTCGCACCTGATGACAGTTCAGCTCTCCTGTAAGCATAATTGCTGCTGCTGCAAGCATTCTGCAAGCAAATGAGTTCACACGCTCGTGTCATTTTATCCTGTTACTGTAAAACACTTTGTCTAACACGCTCTGCACGGCCAGAATCATGTTTAACAACTCAACTCGCTTCCCATGTGGTTTTTAGCTGTGAGGTAGAGGGAAACTGACTCCGTGTAAATATTTGAAATGTTTATGCACTTCAAAGAACCAAGAAATGCATATATTCCAGGAGGGAGGAGCTAGACTCAGCACACTCGGAGCAATGCCATGGTGTATCAACCGTTTTGCAAAAGTAGCTTTAGAAACAGTACCAATACCTTATGTGTATAGTATGATTAAATTACATTAAAGTACTGGGTTGCTCATGGACTTGTATACATTTGCAGATGTTCCAGTCATTAGATTATGGATTAAACTGTTACTGTGCACCTGCACCTGAGGACAGAGTTCAGCTCTCCTGTAACCCTGAATAAGATGAAATGGGTACAAAAAATGGAAGATAGAACTCACTGGTCTTGTGACAGACTGATAGCTTGTGGGGGCAATACACTGTTTGTCTTTCAGATCCAACAGCAGCATCCTGTGTGTCAGAGAAGACATTAATGGTCAAACAATACACGTGGTTTTGTTGACAGAGGTCCAGAGGAAAGGACAAAGCACGTAACACGTAACTACTATATTGTAGATGTGTCAGTTTAATATTATCTTTGATAATGGTCTGTTCTGTCCGCTGGTCACATGCCAGGCTCGATATGAGCAGCACAGTGGGTCACACTGGTGCGAGCCACTGCCGTTGGAGAACAGGGTGGGGTCTGATAAGATGCAAGGGGTCTCAGAGGACCCCGTGTCCCAGTCGGTCCTGCTGTTAGAGAAAAGAGAAGGGATGCTTTCAGAGCCAAGGAGCCAACGGTGGATTGGGAGGAGATTTTTGGTGGAGAAGTAATCTCTCCACATATCAGAGCTCAGTTTAAACAAACATCAGTGGGGGCAGTGACTGTGAAGGGAAGGAATGCACTTCCTGTGTGAGCGACTCTGCCCTCTGTGATCTGTGGCTCAGCTGTCGCCGTTTGACTTACGATGCCACGTTCACTCCCTACATACGAGCCACTTTTCAGTCTGTGGCCCCGGAGGAAATTGTGCCGTTGCCGCTCATTACCAGATGTGATAACATCGAGGAGTCATGAGGAGGGAATCAGGAGGCATCTCTCTGTACAATATTACTGTGACATGCTGCCCACAGCCAACTGTTCAGCAGTTTTTCTAAAACCGTGGAAGACAAGCTTACTATATTTCTGAATGAAATGAAATGCAGTTATCAGATTGCCATAAAGTCCTAAATATATATATGTAATGAATCTAACAGAGAATTCCAAGAAATGTCTAGGCTTTTAAACTGAATATTATTTGTGTTTGTTGAAAATATAATCATAGCTCCAACATGCCCCTAAAAGGCCAAATATGAGACAGACTAGATTCAATGACAAAACTGAAGAGTCCTCATTTGTTTTGTCTTCAGAAAATGAAACAGGTAAACCTTTATGGTTCTATTATTTTTCTACGATAAAGGTGACATTAGTTACATTCACTCAACTCTCTTATATTATTTTCAACAAAGGCTTTTGCTTCTGTCTAAAAGCCTACACAGGCCGATTTACTTCAGGTTATCCTCCACCATCTCTTTCCTGTAATAACAAGTCAGATGCCAGATCAGATAAACTCACCGTTAACCGTGTAACTGTGTAATTGGTTAACTGATCGACCTGTGGGTTTTGACTGAGTTTGTCACTGTTTCCTTGTCTGACTTCAGGCTAATGGTTAGCACATTGCACGTGCATGTCTGGATTTACGTAATTGCTCTGAGAGTCAAATGTGTTGCTTAATATTGGCTCTCAGTGGGCATTTCCTAACATGACTCCATAGTTAAAATAATAGCTATTACATTTTTGTGCACATCTCTCCCAATCAAGAATAAACATGTAAGAATTATCTTTGTCCTGTATAATTGTCATTTGATTTACCTTCACAAACATTTTAAAGTTAGTGTCTCATTCATGTAGGTATTATGGAGAAAGAGAAAGGGAGAGAGGAATTTCATGTAATCTTAGACGTCTATGCTTGAAAGGAAAGTTTAAAATGGAGGAGACTGAAGAGGAAAACTAAACAATGGCTTTTCTCATAGTCATGGTGCATTAATCAAGCTCACTTTCTGTTGTACAAACTGTTCAGTTTCTGCATGAGCATACTCTTGACTCCCCTTGTGGGTAAACTACAGGACAAAAAGTACAAAATATGTGTCGAGAGTGTACAATGTCCTATGTTAAAAACTGATTATCTGAATCGACAACGTGTTCTGCTGCTGCGCTTTCATGATATGTTAACTCATATGATTGTAGACTGAGAAGCATTATTGCTGCTGCTGCAAGCATTCTGCAAACAAATTAGTTAACACGCTTATGTCATTTTATCCTGTTACTGTAAAATACTTTAAAACACAAACATACTCTGCACTGCACAAAATCATGTTCAACAACTCAACTTACTTCCCATGTGGTTTTTAGCTGTGAGGTAAAGGGAAACTGACTCCGTGTAAATATTTTAAGTGTTTATGCACTTCAAAGAGTCAAGAAATGCATATATTCCAGGAGGGAGGAGCTAGACTTAGCACAAAGGAAACAATGCCATGGTTTATTAAGCGTTTCGCAAAAGTGGCTTTAGAAACAGTACCAATACCTAAATGTGTATAGTATGATTAAATTAGATTAAGTACAATGTTGCTCATGAACTTTTATAACTTTACAGATGTTAATGATGGAGGAGCCATGGCTGCTTTCAGTGATTAGATTCAGTGTTGATTAAAATACTTCTAATGTTCTCAACTGAACGATTGCCTAAACTGTACAGTGAAGCAAAAAGTGTCCGAGTTCAATAAGGCAAAAGTCACAGAGTGCACGACTTCTTTGTACAGCCAACGCTTTCAAGGATTCTAATTATTTTACAGAAATGTACACGTTTGCACACTTATCCTCATTAGACCTCTTAAATCAACAAACATTTCAACTGTATTTTTAGACAATCTTTTTTATTAAAGGAAATAGTTTGAAAATCCTTTGGCGTACAAAAAGTTATTTGTTTCTGTAAAGCGAATAAATAAGTAATATCGTTAAACGGTACCATAGATTTGAAATACTCTGGTTATGTGATCAAGGGCAGCAATTTGCTAAAAGTCGCTGCACAGCTATGGTCTAATATTGCACAAGATACAAATACGTTGTCAGACAAGTTTGTTTAGAGGACCAGAAAATAACTGAAACAAGTCATCTGACATATTCAAACATTTCAACTCTAAGAACAACACACTCTATGTCCTCTAATTAAAAAAGGTTTTTATTCACGCGCACAACAGGTAGGTAGTGCTCTGTGTCTTTGTCCAAATAGAAACAACAACATATATAAGAAACCAAAGTTCTCCAGCTCCTGTTCACACAAATGTTTCTGCGGCTTATGCAGGAATATGTAAAACATAAAGGTAAAGCAAAGGTTATCGCTGATTTGTTCAGAATCATGCCATCTACTACATCAATTCAGTATCATTTACTGTCTTGCTTCTTGCATATTAATGGTCTTGATGAATATTTCCTCTCTCTTTATTGTCAAACTACATCAAGAAAGACATGAAGTTAATCGCTTCACGGCCTCAAAATCATGGCATCCGGCCGACCAAAAATGTAACTGTAGCTCGACATGAACAGACAGCCATAAGAAGCCCAGCACGCCCCCCTGTTAAGCGTGGGCCCTGGAGCGGACACACCCTCTGGCTGTTACCAGAGTCTGGCCAGCTGATTTTTATATCAGTCTCATTCTCGTGAACGTTAAAACTCACATGTAGACTCTTGAACACGCATCTAGACCCCTAAAGCAGCTGCATTTGCTCTCCAGACAGACTTGATCAAATGCAGACATTATTGTGGTTTTAATAGGAACATGTACAGAGTTTTCCATCGGGATGCAGTTTCTTGTAGTGAAATGGCTTCTGCAGTTCGAGGGAGAGTGGCTGGTTTCAGATCCTTACAGACAGGAAGTGAGGGAAAGCAATTTGGGGACTAAGGGAGCAACCAGAGAAGGTTTTACCAAAGGATGAGAATACACCACTCGCAACTTTCCCTATAGGTCTGCAGGCACTCTTCCAGGTGCTGTTTTGAGCTTCAGAAGGACTGTGACATTAGAAAATGACACACTGGAGCTTTTCACTGCAGCTGTTGAGTGACAGCATTGGTTTTTGTTTGCTCTCTGTCTGGTGGTCTTTGTCTTCTGGCCGTGGAATCATTTTCATCCATGCCAGGACTGGTTGCTCAGCGCAATACAAAACTTCAAAGCAAGTGATCATAATACTGTTGCCTCCGTTTTTTTAAGCACTGAAACGTTCCATGCTCCTGCTCTCTGCTTCACAGACTAAGGCCTCTGGAGAATCTGCCAGTTTGGCCTCACAGACATAAAGGCCTGTTTAGTCAGTGAACATACATGAATGCATTTTATCAGCCTGAAATTCAAAAGGTAGAAGGGCTGCTAAGAGAGCATGGCAATTAGCAAATTCTACCGCTTTTCTGACTTTAAACTCATATGGTCATGCCAGGTCTAACTAATTCCCAGCTGCTGACGCATGGGAATTAGGCATCACGTATAAAAGCACATGCCTAAAACCCAGAAGAATCTAACGAAAAATGCTTAACCAGCGCAGCTTAAAATACAGTATGTACTCTACCAGTCAAGATTCAGTTTAATAAGCTGGGAAAGAATGGAGTATTTCTGATTGAGTAATCTATATCAGAAAATTTCTCAAATGAGTGTAAAGCGATGTTGGCTACTCTGTGAGACTATATTGTGACACAGCTGCACCTTAAGCTGAATGTGAACTAAATATATGTGAGCAACCTGATGATTAAATATTCAGAATGCTAATAAATGGCTTGCTAGTATGACACACAAAGAGCCTGACCGGAATGACCCCTGTTAAGCAGATGTCCTGTCATAAAGCAAAGAATTGAATTAAATAAAACAATGGAATGGAATGAAACACAGCTAAGCCACACACAATTATAGGAAAATAACATTTCAACACAATCTGGGACATTTAATGTTTTGTGGCTGTGATTTTATTTTATTTGCTGTTCTTTTGTAGGTGATTTTAACTATCTTTCTTTTTCTGTTGTATTTTCTCATGCGTGGATGTGCTATTGCTCTTGTTGCAGTGGCTTTTATCATTATGTGGACTTGTTGTGTTTTTTTTTCCATGTTTGCCTTTTAGGGTCAGCCCAACGTCTACCAAAATATATTGAATACACTTTTATTGATTCACTGAGTAAAAAAAACTAACAAAAACAGTCAGTGTATCCACAATACAACATGTTTTATGCCAGTAATCAGGTTCAAAGACATGTTCCTTTGCTTGAGCTGTTTAATTCAATTGAAATGGATTTCTTTTCTTCTTATTTTCTTTTATTGTTTTAAATTCCTTACCAGTAAGTATATGTTAAGGCCAGCAAGCAAGTTACTCCTTGTCTTTTTGGCTTGACCTGTCATTGTCTGTAGCTTTGGTCTGGATTTAGTGGGAATGCCCCTCTTTCTTTCCAAAGTTGAGTGGCAGCCGCTGGTAGTGTTGATTGTTTTCATTGCAAGTTCATTCTCTCCCAGGAGTGTGTGGTTGAGGAATGAGTGTAAGCGATCCTTTTGGTATCACTGCTGTGTCGGGCCACGTGTAGCCTGTAGCAAAGGTTTTTCTGAGATCTGTCCCACATCACTCCCTGTTGGAACTCGTCTTACCCAGGAGACTGGATCTGTTAAGAATTATAAAGCCCTCCCCAGGCAAATGGAAATCAGACTGGCCAAAGTAAAGCTGCAAGTGCTTCACATTATGAGTGAAGAGGCCTGGAGAACTCTAAAAGCTTGGGTCGCTGTAGCCCTTGGATTTCGCTGTTGTAGTTCTGTTTTGACCTGTCAAGAACATACTTTGTAATCTTGCCAACTTGACTCATGGGAAGTCAAGATGAAAAGGATTTTGGCAAACAGGTTGCCTGAATAAATACAGTGGAAAAGGCAGAGGATGTTCTTTTTTCCCAGTGTGTTGGTTATGCTACTGGTCCTGGCTCTCTGCATGTTGCTCCAAACTGCACTCAGTGGAGATTCTTTGTGCTGAAACTGAATGAGGTTACGTAAAGCCAATAACTAGAATGTGCTCTCTGCTGTTGATGACAGCGACCATGGAAAATGTTCCTCATTAAAACTGTGCATATCTCAAATGGGGCATGCTTGCATACCATGTTTGATCCCTGGCCTTGCTCTTGATCCATACTGATTTAGTGGTCTTTTGTGCTGTGTGGTTGTGTGCGTGCGTATGACTGAACCCATAGTTTATTTTCACTCTTTTTGTGTACATGGACTGGACAGTATGTGGAAGACAGAGAGTAGGAGGGTCAGCCACTGTCAACAAGCGACAGATCGTGAGAAAGACGGGTTGCTATTTGTGATCTTAATGTTATACCACAGCTGTCAGAGTTAAACCGAACTGCTGCTTTTTGGTATTGCGTCAACAGGCTTTCAGCTTAACTATAGCAACATGTCAGAGTCACGCCACCCCTGATGACAGAGTACAGTAAAGTCACACTGATGCATTTCACTGGACTCTACCTTCGTCATTGTGGTCTGTAGTAGATTGTTTTAAACTCAAAGTGGGAGAGGTGCAATAGATCAAGGCTTTCATTAGTCTGGAAGTTATTGTAGCCTATAAAAGCACTAAAAATCCCTCTCTTAAAGTCTAATAACCATCTGCTGGATTACGCTGTTCCTTCAATGAGCTGCAGCAAGAACAGAGTTAAAGTACAGAGTACTTAACTGTCCAGCTTTGACTCATAAAAAAAGTCGTTTCTGAGAATAGAGGATCAAATTGTCATTTAACCCGAATGAGGGTCGGCTCATTTGGTCCTTTTAAAACCTTTTTGAATACCCCAGTTAGTGGATCTATAAGAATGATTGAATCCATTTCAAAACAGCTATATGCATTTGAACATTATTGAAGTTCAGGATTTTGTGTGTTGGTTTATCTTAAATGAAAGCAGCTGCATCCTTTTAAACTGTAATGACAAATTAAATGCGGCCTATTAGGGCCTTAATCAAATACTACAAAGTGATCCTTTTTCAGGTAAAACTAAAGTGTCTATTTGCAAGACCCAGCTCACTCTACATTATGGTTGACATCACACATCAAATGAAGCATCACAAGGAAGTGAGAATGAATCTCCTTCATCAGTGAGGTCGAAAAAATTACACAAAAACTAAACAATAAAAATAAATTCTTAAGTTGCTCTGACCAAAGCCAGCTTTTTAAATGGTAAGTGGGGATATCAGGTAGCTCAACTGGTTGAGCAGGTTCCTAATTTCCAGAGGCTGAAGCTCTTTGATGCAGGTTCATGGTTTGCCCGCTTCGCTGCATGCCCGGCAAACAGTGCTCCTGGTATTTTGAGCACATGTGCAGACGTCCACTGTAAACTTCTGCTGCTTCTGCTGAGCATCAGAGTCTGACTGTGAATTTGATGGGTGTCTCTTTGTCTTCCATCATCAGCACCCTGTCCAGCTGCATGCATGCAGTGGTGGCATTGCTCTACCCCTTCTCCTGGCAACACACCTTCATACCGGTGCTGCCCGGGTCCATGTTGGATATAGTGTGCTGTCCCACCCCCTTCCTGGTCGGGCTACTCTCCAGCTCATTGCCTAAGCTCAAAGATCTCCCGGTAGAGGAGGTGAGTACAAAGCCCCCAGTCAGTTAGCTGTTTATTATCCAAACTCTGATGTTTACCTTTCAAACTGATGGTTTGTTCATTCTAAAGGTTTCTGATGACTCTATGTATTTTTTCTTGTTGTTTTCTGGTTGAAGTCAGTCAGATGACCTCAAAGCTAAAATAAGGATTCATTCAAATGACATCTTCTGACTTTTTTATTGTTGACTAGGGACCATTTTTATGCCGTGGCACTTTTTCTCATTCTGTACCCGTTTATGACAATAAAATGTCTATCTTTTGGTTTTGTACTAAATAGCATTATTTAAAAAGTTTAAAACCAACTCTTTGCTGGTTTTGGGGGTTTTATTTAATGGTAGATGCTCTTGTGGAAGGGAAATGTAATTTTCTCATTCATCATTTGGCTTTCTCTCCTCTCCTCAGGCTTTAATGGTTGACCTGGGAACTGACCGCTTCATCCGACAGGTTAGCACACATACTTACGGAACTAAAATAAAACACATAGCTTCGGCTGGACAGTGAACATATATCAATAATAATATGGTGGTGGTTACCCTTCACTGCCATAGATTTTTGGATGTCAGTTGATTAAGCGATATAAATGAGTATCCTGCAGATTTATACTTTTTAAGTAATGAGTCAAAACTGGCAAATATTAAGAATTATATGTCGGAGGTCACGGCAGACCAGATGAAGATGAAACTGTAACAGGGCTGAATGTGTCAGGTCCTGCTTCAAACAAGATGTAACGCATGCTGTTCTCCGTTCGACTCGGCCTTCAAAGCTAATCCCCGTCTCACTGCTGTTCACCGCTGGTGACTGCGACACAAAACTGTTTGTAGATGGATGACGAGGCCTCTCTGTTGCCGCGGAAACTTCAAGCAGCTCTGGAGCAAGCGCTGGAGCAGAGGAACGACATCATCAGCCAGGACTCCGACAGCGAGTCAGATGAAGGTGAGTAAGTGATGGATCATCTCACACTAACAACACAGACGATGTCCTGCCTAACCCCAGCGTTGTGCTCGCTCTGTGAACCTCGCTGGGAGGTGGCACCTCTGTACAGACGTGTTATGACTGTGAGTCCCGAAGGCTCATGTTGGAGGCGAGATCACGTTGGAAAGTGTGATTTATAACCCAATTATTGTGTTAGGTGACAAATTCATGTTGAAACTTGTGCGTTTTTTTATTAATATCCTCACTAAAAGTGCTACTCAGTGCTACTTTTTATTGAATCTATTTAATTTATTAAATATTTAATTAATTGATTTATTTTACCTTTGGTTACCCTATAAAACCGTTCGACTTGTTAAACATAAAATTATTGGAAATAAACCTTAAAATGATGTTGAAAAGTCATTTTAGTAAGTGAGCACATAAAGTTGTTGTGGTAAAGCTCAGTGAATATAGGCAAAAATTGTAGCTTTTAGTTTTTTAATTCTCACAATAATCCAGCTGTCAAAAAAAATTATTTCTGAATGTTTTACAGTAATCACGAACGGAAATGAACCCGTTTTGTTTGGAAAAATCTTTAATCTTTCAGCGGCCACTGGTGCTGAGGCAGGATGTAACATGCATCTGTAAAATCTAGATAAATGTTTTGTGTTATTAGATTACTGAGCTACCTTCCAGTTAAATCAGATCTGTCCAGCTATACATCTCCTCCTTTATGGCCGCAGCAGTAAAGTGGCTTAGGAGAGTCCCATATGGTCTAGCGGTTAGGATTCCTGGTTTTCACCCAGGCGGCCCGGGTTCGACTCCCGGTGTGGGAACAAGGCTTTTGTGGATATTCCCAGATTAAATAGATGTGTACTATTACAGAGTAATTTACAGGACAAGACTCTAAGAATCTAACTGTCTTAAAGACATGGAGAGTTTGAATGTGAGGGCTTTCTTTCCCGGCATGGTTATGTAACATCTGCTGCATGTCAATCATGGCCTCTTTACGTGCTGTGTGTGTGTGTGTCTGTGTGTGATCCATACGATGAGACTTGTGACACCACGGCATTTCAAATTTATGACAAGTAAACAACACGACTCATTAAAGAAATGCAAATCATTAGTAAAAGCTATGACTCTGTTACATTAACATTAAAACACAAACAGCTGTAGCTGCTGTGGTCGTGTCTACCCCTCTATTTCAGAGAAGATGTCTTTTTGATGTTCTTTCAGTGTGTCCTGAACTGAATTAGGGTTGTGCTCATCTTATAACTCTTCTAAACAGGATTGTTTGGGTCTGTGACTTTGTTGGGTTTCTCAGAGCACGCTCACATTCACATGCTTCAGACAACAACAGTGTAAGAAGAATGAAAGTAAATAGAAAAACACATTGTGTTTATTGATTTCTGTGGCATGTTTGGGGCTGATTTCACAAGTCTGAAGGTTATTCCATTTCATGCGATAGAGTGTGGCGTGTCTGTCTGTCATCTCGTGATGATTCCAGGGAAAATAATTCTGCTCTGTTGCTGTTATTAAACATCTGTCCACAGAGTACAACTCCTTGAACAGCCTGGTGTCAGAGGCCTTCATCCGCTTCTTCCTGGAGACCATCGGACATTACTCCCTGTTCATCACTCAGAATGAGCGGGGGGAGCGCGTTTTCCAAAGAGAGCCTTTCCGCAAATCTGTGGCGTCAAAGAGCGTCCGCCGTTTCCTGAGTGTCTTCATGGAGTCTCAGATGTTTGCCGGGTTCATTCAAGATCGGGAGCTGAGGAAAACACGGGCTAAAGGTAAGTTCCTGTTGGCCAGAGGGTTTCCGTGGTCATCTATTCCTTCTTAAAAAATATGCAAAGCCCGAGGTGTGTACCTCTCTTTGTTGGTTTCCACCCCTGCTCCCAGAGCAATTACTATGCAGAAAGTCTTTTTTTATCATGCTGACCCCTAGTGGCTGAAAGTTTTCATCTGCGTGGCTTCTCGCCACATTACTTAATTGGTCCTGAGTAGACGAGATCTTCTTTCTTCCTGGAGATGTGTCCTGACTTTCTTTCCTTCCGGTCTCTGTGGACAGGCCTGTTTGAGCAGAGGGTGGATCAGTATCTGGAGGAGCTGCCGGACACAGAGCAGAGTGGAGTCAACAAGTTCCTGAAAGGCCTTGGTGAGTCTCGCAGCGAGTGTGCGAGGCCGGGCTCAGATGTCAGGGGGTGTGAGCAGTTTTGAAACTGAGCCGAGTAAACAGAAGTTTAAAATATTTCTTCTGAAACTCTGTTGTATATTCTCACTAGGGACACACGTGTGTTGCATTGTTTGCTACAGAAAGCTGCACACCGCCTTGTGCAAAGCAAAAAACAGTCACAGCGGTCCAAAAAACTGTGTTCCTGCATTACAGCTGGTCCTGTGAGTTTCAGTAAAAATATAGAAGAAAAATGCCTGGTGTGGCAAGAAAAATCTTACAGCATGCACAAAAACAACACATTGACATTTTAAAAATTCATCTAACATCTAAAACTCACTTAAATATGACAATCCCAACAAAGGCCTGTGAATCGAGCCTTTCATTGAAGTGTGGGGGTGGGGGGGGGGGGGGTACTTTTTGGAGGAAAAACAATGGCTCCAAAAAGTTCGGGATTCTCAAAGCAGGGTATTTCTGGGTCTTTGAACATTTCTGGGGGCAATCTTTCCAAGATGGTATCGGGAAACCGCACACGTTAGCAAATATTTAGATTTCTACAAAGGCTCAACATGGTCTGATCAGGCATAAAAGCCAGTTCTGGTTTATTCCAACTTTGCTTATTTCCCACCAGTGTTGTGGTTCACAGTGTCCTCTGTGCATTCTGCAGTTCCATCGCAGAGTTTCAGGAAAACCAAGAGAGGCTAAATGCTAAATACTTTTTTTCCCGTACCATTAACAAGAGTTTCCTGTTGGTTTTAAGATGAGGCAGTCAATCATGAATTACTTTGACTCTCTTTCCAAGTCTGACTAGAGGTAAACGCAGACTGTCGACTGCCTATTCGACTTTAGGCATGTCCATCCAAATTACCAGCCTCAGTTATGAGTAATGACCAATCAGTTTCCCTAAAACTCCACCACGTATCAGTACAATCTAGTTTAATAATAGCAATACGAGTCAAACACAGAAACCCGTCTTTAAATCACACCACACCTTCTTTTTTTAAACAATTGACCACGCCTAATTTCTTTGTTTCCTGTTTCTAGGAAGTAAAATGAAGTTTCTCCACAAGAAGAACTAAGGGGGAAATCCAACCTACAAGCTTCTGCTTCAAGATGATTTCCATATTTTTGTCTTTTGTCAAATATTTGAAAAAAAAAGAAACATGTACATATTCTTTCACTGTAAGCTGTGATACTCTTCAGTGTATGTTTATAGTACCTTGTGAGAAAGAGATAGCAGGACGGTACACAGCGAGTCATAGAATAACCACTGATGTCCAGGTGTGCTTGTGCGGAGTGTTATCAGAGTGTATGAGTGTATGTGACTTAATGTAGAGGTAGATGTACAGTTCATATGTGTTTATTCTACATTATTTTACTACAGTGGTGTCCTCTGTTTAAGGAGTGTATTCGAAAACTGTACATGCATCGAGATGATGAAGAAAATATGTTTTTACTCTTCATAGTCGTTGACTTCTGTTATTAAATATAGTCATGTAAGAGCTTTAAATGCCTGATAGTGTTTCACTTTATAACATGTCCATTTTCAGTTTTATAGGTTCTCTCCAAAGTTTTTAAAAAAAAATCTTACTTTGAATCACCACAGCACAAAAACAACACCCCGAGTAAAGCGAAATCCCCCATTTTAAAATTCAGAAAATAAGAATTCACATTTTGCCAGATGACATAAAATCCCCTCATTTTTCTGTCATTCCTTTTTTATTAAATTCACACCTCGAAGACAGACCTTTTCAAAGCTTTCGGAGGGGATAGCAAGATCCCACAAGGCACGGTAGTCTCACAAGCTACCACATGCTGATGGTAACCTAATTATGTCTGTGCACATCACTCCGGTGGCTGTCACTGCGTGCTGTTATTAGCTCCGCTCACTGAGAGGCTGGCTGTGGGTGCCAGGTGCCATCTTACTCTGTGTGTCCTTTCCAGAAGTTAAGAGTAATTTTGCATTCAGGAAATCTACACCACTTTTAACATCTGTTGAGCAGAAGCTGTTACATCCATCACTGACTAAAAACAAACAAACAAACACACAAAAGGCAATCCCTTGCAGGTAAATCATTTAACACTCTGAATAGGTTTGACACACATCTTGGAATGTGCAGCTGTAAAATGTGAAACTTCAAATCATCCTTTAATTACATTTAAAATGATATAAGTTGAATATAAACTGGAAATCACAAATAGGAATCAGGAAAAACGTTCAAATGTTTTCCTATAAATACCTTAAAATGTAAAAATTCATTTCACACTGCGTACATCAGGGGTCAAAACGCTGAAATCGTTTCTGAAAATGTCCACACGATTATCTGTCGCTGTCACATTTGACAGTCTTCCTGTCTACGTTGGGAGGGAGGTTACCGTAAAGCCATGTGTAACTTTTGCAAGTACAGACCAAGTGTTTCTGCCAAGTGCCGCACTTGCACTTGCTTCTGAGAGACGTCAGAAGTGTTGCACGAGAAAATCTCACGATTAACTGCGAGACTTGGCATCTCCTAAACATTTTTGTCCGGGCCAAAAGAGCGACATCGGATAGGGGGGGATCGACGCTCGGAGATACTCTGGTCAAGGTAAAGAAAAAACAAAACAAAAACAAAACAAACAACAACTCCGTGCGGATTCCGCAGCGCGCAAAACACGATCGACACGCAGAGAGGAGCCCGAGTTTTGTCTGCCGGTGCTCTCGTTTCTCGTGGAGCGATAACACCACTCTTGCATCCTCGCACGCTCACTCATGTTCGGCTGACAGGATGTTTTGCGTGGGCTCTATCGTCCACGAGTGGAATGCAGATGCAGATTTGTGGCATGCTCCGTGTGCGCATCTGAGGACTATCCCCGGGCAGAGTTTGCGCCATCTGGCCGGTCTGCCGCGGTGTGGATGAGCTCCGTGATGCCATGATAGGGGCGTAATCTCATGCGCACTTTCTAAAAAATAATATCGGGCTCGGTGATGCGCTGGAGGTGAGGCGGGCAGCTGATGCGGAGGGAAGCTGAGGATGCTGGGGGGGGGGGGGGGGGGGGACTCCGCCATCCCAGTGCCTGACGCGCCTCTTATGAATCCAAAAGGCTTTAATAAAGTGCTGTCAGAGGGACACGTCCACGGGAGATGGAACAGGTAGTCAAACGTGAGGGGAAGGATGACCGAAAATCTCAAATTCCCCAAAGCTTTGAGGCGCGAGTAACCCCCCCCCCGGATGGATTCAACCTGAATTCTAGTTGTCTTGTCCATCGTGGGGTGTGTGCGATCTGCTAATGGGAAATCCCAGAATAGTCACAAATTGTAGTCAAAGGTCACATTTCCATCGACGTGCTGAAGATAGCATAAAGTGATCCCCTTTGGATTCCCTGGGCAATACAACTTCTAGCTGTTTAACATTTCGTTTAAACGTCCATGTTGAACTCATTCATAATGCGCCTATTTGCTTTCAAATGCACCCCTGGTTATCTGTTTTATATTTTATATTCTCTGAGGAGTCCATTTTAGTTCAAAACCTTTTTTATGAGTCTATAATTCAGATGCAATGGAGAACACCTGTCACAACCCTGTGCTTAAATTTTTACTGCTAAAAAGTGTCAACTAATTGTGATTGATTGTGTTAGATTTAACATCTAAGTAAGATTTTATTACCCTCCACTTTAGATGAGTTGTAATGTATAAATGCAGAAAGAACTTCCTCTTGCTGAGTTGAATCTACAGCTACTGGACTACTTCTGGGTGGAGAACAGACTGAAGTTAGCTATAAATGTCCACTTTCTCGCTTGGTTCATTCTCGTTTGCTGTCCAGTTGGGAATAAAGTTTTAAAAAATGATTTCTGTTTTACGTAAACTAGCTGGCTTGCTGATTTTTCATTTTCTGATGAAATGTTTTGCGGCATGTCGAAACAGAATTGACCAGATTTTTTTTTTCAGGGCAAATCTCAAATCAGAATTATTTTAGTTATATTTAAGAAATATTTGCATGAGTAAATAATATGTCTTGCAGTAAAACGTGTTGACAAACATCCTGTATTAACATCACAAAGCAGATATGCGATTAATATAAAAAAATTAAGATATGAATGGATTTAGCCACTGGTGTGACCTATTGTTGCAGTCAATTTTCTAAATTTCTATTTGGAAAAAGTCCTCTTGGAGGTCATTAGAATAGAAAAAGGGGGCATCAACATAAAGAATACAAAGACAAATTCAAAACAAACAGCAAAGCCACCTCTAAATAATATGTAGCCGTTCGACGATGCAAAAAATGAGACCAAACAACAGGCAAGAGACTCTAGTTCACAGGCTACTAACCCACCTCATGGACATTTATGACAAATATATATACTTTTTTTCTCTAGAAAAGGTTTAGAAGGCGAGTTCGTGTGGTTGTAATTGGTATTGCATATAAAGTCTGCACCTTTCAGGCTCAGCAATTGTGTTCATCTCGTATGTACACACTCTTTTTAAAAATAATTCTACTTACTAGTGACCAACACTATGAGTTGCTGATCTTTGTCAGATCACATAATGAGGGTGCTCTGCCAGTATGATCTGCCAAAGAGTCTCTGCTTGAGTTTAGGTATTAAAAAAAAGATGCTCATACTTTAAAAGGTTATTTGAGCTGGCACCATATTATTTAATCCTTGCTTATATAGTGAGTTGCTTCTTAATCCCTGAACGACCATGTCACAAAAAATTCTGAGATCTTGGGAACAATATTACTTAATTTCAAATTATTTGTAGACGTCCAGTAAAACAATGAAGAAGATTACAGTCCAGCTCAGTGTTCAGACATGGAGAGACAGCAGTGAGGCTTCATCCTCCAGGAGGATATGTGCTGTTAAGAAGGTGTGGGGAAGAAAATCAACAGAATAGGTCATAGCAATCTTTATCGGTGAAAGTGAGTAACTAAATTTTCACTGATAAAAAAATCACAAAGTGCTCAACATCAAATACACAAAAACTATTTGAACATAACAGCACTGTTGAAAGAAATGAATAAAAGACAATGATAAAATATTTAAATACCACACTGAAAAGAGTTAAAAGACTGTCTAACTAAAAGAATTTCCCCACAAAAACAACGCGAGGAGTATAGAATATGTACTATAACTGCCATGTAGCTTTCAGGAAAATGACTTTTCCTTGTGGGTTTTTGAGAAAAAGGCTTCAGCTTTCTTTGGAGGGCAAAGATTGGACTGGGGGGCATCAGACAAAGGCCTTGCTGTCTGTCGAGTCCAGATTTCCCTGGTTCCAGAGTGATGGGTGCATTAGGGCAAGAAGTGTGGTGGATAAGTGCTTGGCCCATCATACATCATAATGCCCACTGTCCGAGCCTGTTGAGGCAGCAGCTCCATCTCAGGTTGCCTCGGTCGGTCAGGTCTGGTTTCGCCTATGTCCTGTTACATTTTCTCTTTCCCTGATGGTATAGATATTTTACGAGATAATAATGCTAGATTTCATCCTTCTCAAAAAGTGTAAGAGTGGCTTAATTTGGTGCAAGACATCTTTTGCATACGCTGGTTTTTCTGCGATGGACTCTAGATTTTAACTCCTTAATGCCCGGAATTAATTGTCAGTCATATATAAAAAAAATCAATTGTGTATTTGCTTTCAACCCAATTGGTCTAACTAAAAAATGTATTTAGTGTGCATCATCCAGCATTGGAGGAATAGATGCTCAATCTTACATGCATTATGCATGCAGGTGGATTGTTGCAAATTCGCGACTGTAGGTGTTATCACCCACTGATAATCTTTCGGATATGCTAAAGACTTTTCCAAGGATTCTGACTATCTCTCATCAGTGCAAGATCTTAGCAAGAATGAAAAAACTAAACAGAGACAAACATTGTGAGAAAACAGAATTTATTGTCTTGATATTTCTAGAGAAGTCGTGCATTTACTTGGCAAACGTGCACGACAGGCATGCATAACCTCATCAAAGCTGGAGATGCTCAAATATAGCTGAGTTTTATGTATGTCACCTCAAAAATTTGATTTCAATGGCTGCAAGTCTTCCATGGGGGCTGTCCTCTCTCTGAGATGACAGCATTCTTAAAGGCATTTTGAACTAAATATAGGAAAATGACGCCTTTCTTCCGTTGGTGGATTTAATCGAGGAACAGAGGCTAAGTTGGTTAGGGAAAGAAGTCGTTAAACAGCATAATAGTCCCAGAATGGATGAAGATAATCCTGCCTTTTCTGTGACCTTATCACCTCAGTGTTAATAGATGTTACAAAGAAGGGGCTTTCAAGGGAAAAAAATCACCACTCAGATTTCTATTATTGTGATGTCTCTGGAGATGGCACTCGTATCTAGTGCCAGCTTAGCGGGCAAGCTAGCGGGAGATTTCAGTGTGACAGATAAATGCTGTGAAAGGTGTAGAGAAAGAAAGTGTACAGGTTTTAAAATGCTGCGAAGCGGAGCAGGGGTGCGTTACAACTGACTAATTGTGTTTTAAATTGGGTCTTTGAGTGCACAATGGGGAATGGGATTCCTCTGAGCTCCCCACTGAAGCATCCAAGGATGAGAAAGTTGTCACATTTGTAGGTCAGGCTGTAAGGGTTGTTGTTAGGCAGACTTGCTCATAAGTCATAAGTCACCTTGGCTTAATTTAGGACTGTATTAGATGGTGTGCTTGCCAAGTTTTGATTAGTGTCCCTCTTCTTTTCAGTTCCCTTTTTCAGCTTTTAGATCAGTGTAAACTGTTTCTAAAGTAGACTAGAGTGGCACACAGCTTTATTTTTTTTCTTCTGACTTAACTGTGAGCTTGTTGTCCCTCTTCTACACAGCGGTCTATGTTCTCTGCTGCGTTGTGTTAAAAAAACCTAACTGCTTTCACAATTTTCGAAGGAGTTGCAGGAGTGTGTCCTCGTCCCATCTGGAGCTTATCCAAGCCTGACCCGGTTTTGGTGTTCCACGTTAGAGTGTAGCTCCTCTGGGACATGTCCCCTCCTCACGCTGACAAAGGAAAGAAGGCCACTGCTCACCCATCTTAGCGCAGCCCGACATAGCCTGACAAAGCCCAACAAAGCCCAACATCACCTAATCCTGCTCCTCTGCCCGCTCTAAAGAACCTAAAGGTGCACGTGTTACAGTTTCACACTCCTTCCTCATTGTAGGTCACTTGGTCTTCCTTCCCCCTCCATTTTGGAAAGGGCTTCCAGGGATATTTTGCCCTACAAAAAAATAATTATGTTATCTCCCTAATTCCCAATTATTATGCACAGGCTTATTTAAGAAAAAGGATTAGATTTTTCCCTCCTTTTTTTTTTGGGTGGCAGCGCCAGAGAGCTGAGAAGGAAATTCGACATGACACTCCTCTCCTCTTCTGCAGAGAGGGGTCCTACACTTGGATGAACCGGGGGAGGAGAGAGCACAGCAAGGCTGTCATGTAAGCCGTCTCCTCTGGGGCCACCTCTCGGCGCACACTGCTTCCTGCCTCAGGTAGAAGCCTCGGTGTTTCTGGTGCCGAAGCGCTAGGCTGCTCTCTCCCCTCTCTACTCCCTCCAGCTAACGCATCCTCTCTCAAAGAACTGAAATGGAGAAGGTAAGATGTCTCTTCAGCGTTGTCTCTTCACGTGAACTGTCTCCCGTTTCCGACAGAGCCGAGGGGTCGTTGTGCATCGTGCAGCAGTGTCTAATTTTGCACTTTTAGCCTCTCGCTGTAAAATGCATGTGCTTTCTATGTTTGATTCGCTCTCTCCTCATGTAAAATATAACATCCAATGTGAGGGATACCCCTGTTTTCACACAGGGCTTATAATTGGAATTGGTTGTAGATGATGTTCATACCTCTTTAATCCTCTATTTTTGGAATCCTTATTTTTGCACCCCCAATGTGTATAGTATTGTTTGAATGATAGAGTTTCAAAAACAGGATTTTATTTGATGTTAATCTTACAAAGCCCTCACTGATCTTGCCCAGCAAGTCTTAAAGTACGATGAGACCTAGCCGCTCTTCATGGTGTGATTTGAAGTGAATCAGCAGCGCATATCTTTTCTTACTTTTGCCACCTCATCTTTATTTTAGCACATTTTTCTTGTGCGTTACATTCGTCATCGTGCACTTTAAATAGCAGGGGTTTTTCTTTCAGATCTGCTCAGAGTGCACAGAGCCAACGCTAGCGCAGAGTCTGTGTACGCTGTGCAACAAGTGGTTGTGTTACCGGTGCACAGATGTGCACCAGCACCAGAGAGCCCAAACTGCATCTCAGTACGCAGACTCGTACCAGCAGCAACAGAGGCCGAGTGCCACCCAGTGTCCCGACCTGCACCAGAGAGGCTCCAGCAGCCTGCCTCCCACAGGACAAGGCAAGATAATTGCACTCGGCTGGTGTAACAAATGATGATTTTAGCCATATCATCTGTCATGTTGTTTGTTTTTGTTAATAATCTTCCAGCAGGAACCACTGAAGTGAATAATGCATGGCCGTGGCAGCGGTTTGCTACTGTGGATCTTGGAGATGCATGCGTTTTTTTTTTGTTGCATCTATCTTTAACACGTGGCCCAGATTCTTAGGAGCTTGGATCACTTGATTGTTTTCTAATATTAGTATGTTACTATTTAAAGCTTCCCTTAAGCCGCCCTGAAGTGTGTCCAGCATCTTTGTTGCCTGCATTTTTGGTGGTCTACCCTGCAGACGTTGTCAGATCATAAGTAGCATGTCCTCCACATCTTATATGTGATATGGGAGTGTTACTGTATGGTTTGTGCAATTGTGAGAAAAGCTGTGTGAATAACAGACAGGATGTGGTCATTCAGATTAGGCTTATGCACACAGGGCGATGTTCAGCTCTCTGCCACAAAGAATTTTGACGTTCTGCAGGCAGGGAGGGGGGGGGGGGGGGGGGGGGGGGGGGGGTGATCTTTAGCCACATCAAACTATTGTTAGATGTTCTGTGAGCCAGAACTTAAATGACCTGATTAGAAATGCTTAATCATTTACTATTGTTTTATGTTGCATGTGTTTAGTTGAGAGTGCTTCAAACTCCTGCTCTGAGAAATTGTTTGCTGACCTAATTGTCACTCAACTTTGTAACCTCAGCTTCCTCCAGCTCAAGCATTTTCCCACACAAGATTGTTATTGTTTTATATCCAAGTGCAGGCATACCAGTTTCAATATTGTATGCCCATATAGATTTTCAATGTTTACTTTGAAGCACCTTCCTTCAGTTGTGGCCCTTTGCAGAACTTTAATTTACTATGAACACATTGATCGGTGAAACTGGCTGTAGCAAAATGATCAAGCTGTGGTGATTTATAAAACACAACCCAAACCTCAACAATATGTTATCTCAACAATATGTTATCTCAACAATATGTTATCTCACTATGTGCAGAACAGTAAAAACAAAAGAGAGATGGTAAGATTATTTTTTTATGATGTGGTCATCAAAGAAATGTCCCATTTTTTTAAGTTTTACAAACTATAATCAGAAAAGGCTGCTGTTATCATCAGTAGATGTGATCAGGGTTATGTACAATAACCCTGAAAAAAACAGATTGACATCACTTAAGACATACATATCTATTAAAAAATTTTAAGTGTCCCCTGAAACAGAGAGACCACCAAGCTGCTCATCATAACCCCCTATCACATGTAACAATATGCATTTCTTTTTTGATTGGTTCCACTTTATGCCGGACCAGTCAAAGAGTTTTGGAGGTTTCACGAACAAATGAGAGTGAACAGGGAACAGCAGGTTCCGCTGCAGAGGGAATGTATGGGGCAATAAAGCATCACAGCTTTTCAAATGGACCCCAAAAAATAATTAAAACCGGTCTGTGTTAGCACAGTATGAGCTTCAGATTACTTCGAATGAATGCCCTGACAGTCAATAGCTTAGCAACGACGAACACTGATGGAAGGCTGAAAATCAATTTTCAATTTTGCACTTGCTCTCCAATTACTCACGTTATAACTAGTGCCTCTAATTTGCTAAGAAGAACTCGGTTTTCACTTTAAATTCATTGGACTGCAAATGACTATTTTACTCACTGCCAAAGACATCTTTACGAGGCTTACTTCATAGCGCCATGTTTGGCGTCCTGCTTTAGCTCTGGGGGTAAATTTCCTGTCAACTGTTGCTCTCTAATACTCTGTCTCCCCCCCCCCCCCCCCCCCCCCCCCCCTCCTCTCTGTGCCTTTCAGGTCCGGGGTCATATCCTTGTTCCCTCCTCATGTGCCACTCTCACAGACAGGAGCCCTTGGAGCTTTTTTGTGAGTCATGTGACCTTCTGTGCTGCAGCAGCTGTCACCTGTCCTCCCACAAAAACCACAGGTCAGTCCTCCAAAACACCGCACAAGGACACTGCAGGGAGAGGCTAACTGCGGGTTAAATACTACCTCTGAGCCCGAGCGCTCTTTAACTGCCCTGTCATTTTATCTCGTGTATGTGCATACGCTGCCCTTGGCCAGCCTAACTTTCATTAAGTATTCATACACTTTTGTTTTCGGTGATGATACCGTGCACTAACCGTCTCGAAGGTCGCCCGCATAATGTCGTGTTCTCGGGGGAAGCACATGTAACTCGGGTGTTTCGCTCCTGCCTGAAGAATAAATTAGTGAACTTTTTTTGTGGCGGACGCTGAAATCTCTCATGGGTGTAGGGTGATGCAGATCGGGAAGGCCCTGCAGGATCAGCGGTGGCTGTTTGAGAGTCTGATGGTGCAAGTGGAAGAGAGGAGGTCTGCAGTGGAGAACAATGCTAAACAGATAGAGGACAGGTTGGTTTCAACCCACAGATTTATTATCATGCTAATGTTTAAATTGATATATGAAATTTAGCTTTTTTTTTGTCGATTTTGAACGGACGGAAATCTCTCTTTCCCTTTCTGTCTCTGTAGACTCCATGGAGTAAAGATTGCGCACAGGAAGGCAGAGAACCAGATTAAAATGGCAAAGATGATTATGATGAACGAGCTTAACAAACGAGCCAACCTATTAATAGAGCAACTGGAGGTAATTACTTTCTCTTTCTTTCCTTCCTTCTTATCGGACAGTCAGCCATGTGCGTTCATGCAGGGAATCCATAACTGCCAAAGTACAATATTCAATGAAAGCAAGCCAAATGAGTCCATTTTAAATCAGTCCAGGTTTCTCAATCTGACAACTCAGGTGTTTTTAAAAGAAAAGCCACTGTTGATTAGCCGAGAGCCTTGCCCTTTGTTTGCCAGCAAATACAAATGACTCTGCGCATATTGTTGGATGTTTCTGTAGAAGATCACAGAGGACTTTCAGCAGCGTCTGGAGGACCAGCTGCAAGGTGCAATAGAGATGTGCGGCCACCTGGACCACATTCAGAAGTTCATCACCTGGGCCACGACCCACCACTGCAGAGGCCCGGTGCTCTTCAGCAGGGCTCTGGTGAGACAGTCAGCAGACCTCCCGGGTCCTGCTGCTATAACACACACACACACACACACACACAAATGCAAACACAGTACTCTAAGGGAAATCATTATTCCTTTTTTATTCACGTGAGAGTAACAGGCTCAATGTCTCTTAGACTACTTTATAAAAGTCTCCGCCTCGAACATTTATATATCCAAGGCAGCTCTGATTATCCTTATAAAGGTCAGGTTGCTGGTCATCATATTCCAACTGTTCAGAGAATTGTCCCATGTGGTGTCCTCTGTGTATATGAAGGTTCTGTCCCATAGTAAGCCAGAGGAAATTGCTGAAGTAGCAGCAGGAACTTTTATTTCAGCTTGAGTTGAGATCCTACACAGTCAGTGTTTTGGGATCATGGAGTTTGAAAGCTAGAGACATTTATCAGGCAGCTAGGGTTTAAAAATAGACGTGATGCATTATATCTGCTGTAGAGTGCAGTGTTTTTGGAGCTTTATTTAGCAAAGAACAAAAACATGGGGTACAGTGTGTTTCTTTGAACATGCATCAAACTATGTGCAACCTGGCCAATTACCAGTTCTCATATTGGCACCATACCTCGGGTTTTATTCGGTTTGAGGAAATTGATACTAAATTTGGCACCCTTTAGTCTTATGGTTTGTGTGCACACAGCACACTTGTTAATAGTTTGATTCTGGCCTAGGGACCTGTGTGGTTTGGTTTCTTGAATTTGAAAGTTCTTTTAATGTTAGATGTGACATTCTTTAGTTATTTTATGAACAGGGATGATTGTTAGATGAGCTTGATTTTCATTAAGAAATCCAAAATAAACAACCATCATCGTGTAGAGATGCCTAATGCGCACACATTTGCCTTTTGAAATATCATTTTTGAATGAATAAAGCCAATGTATAAATTGAACCTGGTTTAAATGCTGCACATCTTCATCCTGCAGATTTCACTCCAGATGCAGCAGCTGCTGGAATCGTCTCTCCACTCAGATTCGTGGAGTCCTGTTAAGATCAAATTCAATTGGGATGCAAGCTACTGGACAAAGCACATTTCCTCTTTAGGTAAAAATGTCGCCATAAGGCTAAACATTGTACAGAATCTTTGCAAATACAGTCTTAGCGTACAAATATAAAACAAAACCTCCAGAAAGAACGTCTGGGCTGTATGATAAATATTCCCAACACTATGTGAGCTATCTCACTTAAAAGGTTTATGAGGTGTCTTTGTCAGTTCTCTGTGTGACTTTGAGTGACTTTTTAACAGACCTTACTGTGACATTGTTGTTCTGCAGGTCAGCTGACTGTTGAAGGGGGAAACTGCTCTTATCCGTCAGGCTTGGCCTGTTCCAGTATTATGAGGCCCCATCCGGTCACCTGCTTTGCTCTGCCGACCATGTTTCACAGAGGGAGAGAGCCAGGGTGCGGGTACCAGCAGGCCTGCTGTGAGCCCCAGATGTGTTGCCTACATGGCATTTCCCCTCAGTCAGATCTGGCCAGTCTGGATAAAAGCCAGGTGGACACCACTCTTTACAACTCTAGCTGTAGTCAGTCTGGTCTTATTTCTGCCTCCCTACACCAGAGTCAGCCACTCCAGAGATGTTGGGATGCAGAAACTTCCTCACAGTGTCCTGCTCCCACTTCTCCTGTCCCGGTTGTAGGACCCACCCAGTTTAACTGCGGCCGTGGCTCTGTAGCACAGGCCGCTGACTCCCTTCCTCATTCTCAGTCTGCATCCTACCTCTCATGTCACCAACATCAGAGAGAAGCTCCCCCAGACAGCCAGACTCAGCTAAGTGCAGAGCGCGGCGGGCCCGGCCCCTGTACGCCTAAGTGTTCGACAAGCACAGCTCAGCAGCAGGAAAGCAGCCAGAAAGTAATGACCAGGGACGCGATGACTGAGGAGGGCTGGGAGGACAGATGTAGGGCGGAGGAGACCCGTGGACAAACGGCATCAGTTCAAAGCAGAGAGCTGCTGGATGAGGAGTTACGGGCAGACAGGGGGGAGCGGGGTCCCGGCCAGCTGCAGAAGCGGGTTCAAGCTGCTTTAGCTGCAGAGCAGCAGAGGACTCGTCCTGCTCTGACGCTCAGAGACCACAAAGAAAGCAAGGTGAGAAAACGAAACCTGCAGTAATGTACCACACAACCTAAAGTCTATTATGAATAAAAATGTAACATTACATACACATGTGCGAAACATTAAACTGATGCAGTGAAGCATGTAAAGCATGCAGTATAATGTGGAGATACATTTGTCTTGACTTTGAAAAAAAAAACGCAGGGATGATTCAACAAAAATAAAAACTGAGCAAACATTTAGCGAGATGAATAAGTCTCAGATTCCGTCAGAACAGGGGGCACATATTATTTTAATGGTTACTGCTATGCCTAAAAACAATCTTATAACGTAAAGATGTGAAGCAACAGTGCTGTAAAAATGTTTTAAAGTTCACCAGGATATCAAACTATAGGGATCTGTTTTCACACCTCAGCTTGTCATTTCACATGTGGTCCCTTCAAAAGGGTTTTTGACCCCTATACATGGTAAACCACATATAGCTGTTTGTTCGCTCTTCTCAAAAGCCACTACTGATTGGTCAAGTCCATTTCCCCTGAAAGCACAGATGTTCTCTCATCAGTCATTCTCAAACTGCTTAAGTTTCGACATTCAAGTCCTGTTCAAAGTTGACAAGTTTTACAAGTTCCAAAGCGTTAGCTTGCGTGTTGAATTTGAGGCAGCATGCCTGTCAATGACTAACAGACATTAATGGCTGACAATAAAAAGGAGTGCTTTATTTTAAAGCCAGAATGTTCACTTCCTGAAGTTGACAGCTTGCCTGAAAACAGATGGCACAACAGAAACGTTCTCCAGCTTCTATAAAGAAAGGATGATGGTAAAACAAAGGCAAGCTCTGACAAATAAAGCTCTGAGCAGTTCACAGTGATGCGTCCTAAAATGCAGGAGAGCACTCTTCGTCACAATCATCCTTGATGCCAGAGTGTTTTAGCAGCCGCATAATTACCTCTCTAAGAAATTCTCAAGATGGATGATTACAGTCACAAAGACACGTTATTTTTATATGTTCAAGTCGCTGCATCTGAAAATGATACAAAGCCGCTTGGGCACGCTCATTTGTGTACTTAACCTGTCATTAATGAGCCACTAAGGGAATAGTGGGAGCTGCCAGTTTGATTTTAGACCTGGTTTGTAGCGAGATAAATTCCTGCTCGCCATCGTTCCAGAGAGAAGGATTAGTCTATTTTCCTCTATAATCTGAATCATGCATACCTCTCCCAGGGGATCTAGATCAGGTGAGTGTTTAAATCGCGTGATACTTTAGGAGAGGCTCAGTGTTAAATGTGGTCTGAATATGTATGATTCTGCTGAAAAAAGGAGAAGCTTTTGCTAAATGCTTTGTCGCTTCTTCTTCTTGCATTAGCAGACCACTTTTGAGTTGTGCATTAGCTATTTAGTAGTGTAAGGGATAAAGAGAGAGTGGTAGTAAGAGGTTGCAGTTCTGTTTTAATCAAAGAGCCTCACTGGATCACTGATGCTAAATTTGCATTTGATAATTAGTGTTGTACACAAACCTTTCATTTGCCCTTACAAAAACATTAAAATATGCAGCATGCTCATAAGGACTGAGCTATTTTGAATTTTTCCTGTGTGATGTTTTTGTTCACTTTTGTTCATTTATCCACCAAACCCACCCCGCTCGTTCATCTCCTTTCAGTTGTTAATGGCATGAACAGGTGCATCTGAACATTTAATGCAACTTGAAGCCCTGCTCTGGTGTACTTATGTTTCTGACAGAGATCCACATCCCTGGAGGTATCTGTGACAGCCCACGAGTGCGTCTCAGATGTGCAGAGCAGCAGACTCAGCCCCAGTTCAGTTTCCACAAGGAGGGAGAGGCGCTCCCGGAGCATCCCAACAGAGCTGGCAGCGCCATCCACCAGCTCCTACTCTGAAAGGTCTCCGGGATCCACAAACAGCCGAGAGGCTGAAGCTAGACAGAAGGTAACCTTGCATCAGGGTAAAATAACACTTGGGGGAGATCTGAGGCTCTGCTGTAAGACTAATCACATTTAAGTCAGAGTTATGTAATTAGGCATATACTACATTAGAGAGCCCTGAAAACTGGCAAGACAGGAGAAAGGGACGTCGGTATAAGATATTTTAGGTAGATGATGCAAAGGTTTTCTTGTATTCACAAATTGATGGAGATGTTGTGGTGTCCTTTCAAAATGTTATAGTGAAGATTAAGGAGGATTGCACAGAAAATATTTTATGGTTCTATCAATTCATTTCAAATTATGTTGAAAGTGGGCATGGTAGACAGATCAGATTTTTGAGACAACAGTGAGTAAATCACACATTAGACAAAACTGGCTCTGCTCAGACATATGTGTGAAGTGTGAGGTCAAACACTCTAAGTTAGAATCAGGGAATCCACCCTGGCTCTAGTTTCACTCATCAGTACCAACTCAAAAGGCTCGAGTGAGAAATTGTAGAACTATTTGAGATATTGAGAAGGCACATGGACCGTCCAGGGTGTACTCTGCCTCCCGCCCAATAACTGCTGGGATAGGCTCCAGTCCCCCCGCGACCCCATTTTGGAATAAGTGGTAACAATAGTGGATGGATGGATGGATGGATGGATGGATGGATGGATGGATGGATGGATGGATGGATGGATGGATGGATGGATGGATGGATGGATGACACAGCACCTAGTCGTCATTAGTGATATTGTAAATTTGCTTGAATATTCAGATGAGGTGGTTGCTCCCTTCCTTTGCATAAAGTCTAAAATCCTTTCAGTTCAGTGTCCGAATGAATAAAAATAACATGGCCATGTTGTATATTATAATTATACAAATTAGCATTATTTTTCTCACCATCAAAGCTTGTGACTTAGTTTAATTTGATGTTTACATTGTTCTCAGTATGACAGAGTGGATTCCAGACAGAGGAGAGCTTCTGATGGAGTTCTTTGCGTTGTCAAGGAAACCCTATCTGCTATGACCCCATCCAGAGGAAACCTGCCTCCCACAATGTCATATAAGATGGAACCAGGTGGTGGAATATTCCATGCGATTAATTAATTTATTCTAAAATTGACGTGATACAAAAACTTAATGTGTTTCTTTGTCCTTTTTTTGTTTAGATCATCCTTTTACTTTTGTAAGCGAAGATGTTGATTATGGACCCGCCGAGAAAAGCAGAGTGCCAAGGAGCAGCTATAAGAGGTAATTTCTGTGAAATGTCTGAGTACATTAACAAATGATGAGAATAAAGTTTGGGTTTCATTTCATAAGTCAATGTCTGGTTCTCCCTGAAGTAACGGAGATGTCCTGAAGGGCTCAGGCAAGTCCAGGGTTCCAGTGGTTTGCTTAGAGCGCCTTAAAATACTCGTGGCACAACTACCACCACATGGACGTAGACAGAGCGACCCTTTGCCTGCCAGTGAGATGGATGAGAGCGACAGTAACCCCCAGCAGAGCACCTGGCACAATGTAAGGCTAGCATACATACATACATACATACATACATACATACATACATACATACATATGTATACGTATATAATATACATATATATTGATCACAAATGCTCTGCTGACTCCAGCCCACTGAAGCAAATAAAAATCCTATAATAGATAATTCAGTTCAGCTCAGGTTAATATGGTACTATGGTAAGTTAGATAAATAATGATGTAATAGGCTGCAAATAGCCTTTAAAAGTCAATAGTGTGATGTAAACATTGATTTAAAAACATAACTGTAGCCAATGAAAGGAGTTTAAAACTGAGTGTTTTTCTTCTCTTCTGAACAGGGGAAACCAGGAGTGTCTAATCACAGGGGGGCTTCCCGCTCATTGACAGCGCCACCATACGCAGAGAGACGCATCTGTAGTCAGTCTAGCACCCGTTCACCCAACAGTGACGTGGACAGCCACAACAGCAGAGCTCGACTCAGTTCTCCCAAAGCCTCCGCACTGCGTTCCACCGACTTGCAGTATGTGCCACAGAGTTACTCGGAACTCGATCTGGACTCAGACTCAGATCCCAGATCGGTCTCCGAGGAAAATGCTGCCATTCCAGTCAATCCAGACCCGCGGATAGACTCCGATACGTCTCCGGACTCTGATCCAAATGCGCAATCTTCATCCGAGGCTGAGCTTGAAAGTATGACTGCGGGGAAATCGGCCGCCGCGGGGAAAATGAGGCTGTGCGGGGATTCAGAGCCGAGTTTGGAGTACGAGGCGGACCCAGAGTCAGATGCAGGAGCGGGATCTGACGATGGTCCAGGGATGAACGTTTATTCAGAATCCGGCGATGCTCAGACAGAGTCTGACACCCAGCCTGAATACGATCCCAATTTCCAGGCCGACACAGATTCAGAGGCTGGGTCCGAACGGCCTCCAGACTCCCAGGGCTCTGTGGACTCGGAGCTCGATGTAGAATCCGATCCCGAACTGACAACTGACGATCCACAGCCACTTCGCTCTGACCTTGAAGAGGAGCCCCACGTCGGTCTCAGTCAGAGACCTCTACTGATTGCAAACCCCGTCGTTCAGAGAGGCACAGAGGAGGTCCATTCTGAGAAGGACGGTGCTGAGATGGAGAGTGAGGACTTCTGTGCGGTGTGTCTGATTGGAGGGGAGCTGCTGTGCTGTGACCGCTGTCCAAAAGTCTACCATTTGTCCTGCCATATCCCCCCTCTGCTGAGCTTCCCCTCGTAAGCTTTCTAACACAGGAACCTGAAATAGTCACATTTAACATCTCACAGCCGCTCTATTTGGTGCAGTTTAGTCAAAGCTGTGTTGACTAACCCCGCTGTTCTATGTCTTCCTGTTCAGAGGAGACTGGGTGTGCAGCCTGTGCACAGACGCTGTACAGCCAGAGGTTGAATACCACTGCGAGAATGAGAGAAGGCCTGGAGTACTCGCCGTGCACGGACTGCCTGCAAGCGATCAGAGAGTAATTCCTTTTGTATTCTGCACTAACAGGAACAAATACGTGCAATGTCGGGCTTTCCTGCCTAAATGAGAGCTTGTGTTGCTGTTTTTTTGACTGTTTGCAGAAATGTGAGCGGCTCACTCTCCTGATCCTCAGCAACATCTTGAGTGCTCCCTTCCATGAGCCCGTCAGTCCACTTGTAAGCAGTCCCGTTTCCTCTCACTCTAAAGACCAAATCATTTTTTCGATAGCTTTTTTTCGCCCTTCTGTACTTACTGTCACACAGCATCTCCCTGCAGAGATTTCCTCTTATTTTAGCAGACACAAAAAACTCTTGGATTGCAGCTATATTTGGCGGTGTTTTGGGTGCTTAAAGGTTCCCCTGTGGATGTTTTCCCTATAAACAAAGTCACTTTTTATTCGGTTGTTCTCATCAAAGCATGGTGAGCACATCCCTAAGGCAACACAACTGTTTTGAGTGCATTTTCATCTTCATGAAATATTCACAAAGCTGATTTTTAAAAATAATTTCAGCCAATCAGTGCTTCGTCTGAAGTTCACATCAACTCAGTGTTTTTCTGCTATATTACTGTATGAAACACCTCAGTCATTTGCTAGATACAATTACAGTAACTAAGAAAAACTTAGAACAGCAGAATGTTGTAAAAAGAATAGATAGCTTGATGAGTGTTGCTAGTCACTGACTACTTTAAAACTGTTCAAATCTATGTTGGCTTTCCACTAGCCAACATACTGTCACACCTCAAATGTATGCGTTTATTGACCAGTTACATAATGTAATGAAATGTTTACACAGGAAGTTGGGTCTTGAATTTAATTTACAGCCCTTTAAATGATCAGTGCATGACAAAATGCCATCTTACACAGAAAGAAAACTAGAAAAAAGCTAGAAAAAATGAAAAGTTATTAAACTATTTCCAAAAATTATTTTGAAAGAAAAACATATTTTTTCTTAAAAATGTCATTTTAAACAAATTGACATGAATGAGGTAATAGTATATCACTTAGTAAATAACTATTTTGATCAGAATTTCTATCCATCCATTTCTTAGACTTGCTTAATGTAATTCAGGGACATTGGAGTAGTGGGTACACGGTGAGACGCGTGCACGCTTACACTGACTTCTTTATTAAAACTACAATCAACATCCCAATCCACCAACCTTCTTTTTTTTTAACACCAACACACTACATAACTATGCAACAACTTAAGGACAATGTTTTTTTGTGTTTTATTTTATTTTAGAAAAGTAACTTCAACATGATATAAAAGATTTACTGGAAGCCACTTTTATGCTCGGTGTTCTGCACTGGCCGTCTTTTGCAGATTCTCGGATGAGGCCATCAGACTTCTTTTCTCTTAAGTATTCAGTAGTTTTCAGATGCTATCGCTTTACCTGCAGTCCTGCTCTGACCAGGGATCGGTTTAATGCTTGAGGTATATAAGATGACAGACCTCCTTTCTCAACCCATCCCAGTCCTTGGATTCTCCAAAAAGCTGCTCTCTGTTTCCTGTTTCTTTTTTCTAATAGCATGTGTCAACCCACAGCTATTTCAAGCATTTGCAGACTGCTGTGTTGAATATTTACTGACATAAACCATAGTGTTGGATTCTTTTTTTACTTTTTTACTTCTCTCTTCTGTAACATCTCACTTGACAACTCAGTTCCCCTCTTGTAAATGTACACTGGGACAAGGCTGGTGGTCCAATTGAATGGCAAACTATATCCAAATCTGTCTAAAGGTTGAATTTATAACTATGCATGGGTTGTTAAGACTCTAATTATTATTATCACTTACGTTTCCTCCATTAGGGTCGTAGAGTTTTTGCATATATTGCCATTGATAGCTAGCTTCTAGGATGCCTGATTATGATTAAGATTATGAAGCATTCACCTTGTATATGGATGAAGGCACATTTGTCACGGTGATACATAATGTAATTTATGAAAGATTTATTTGATGCATTTAGATGAGGAAGCTGCTTTGAGGTAATAAAAGAGTAATGAGAGCTAATGGGGATGATATTAAAGTCTTAAATGTTTCCTGCTTTGTGATGCAGGCACGTCATTACTACCAAATCATCAAGAGGCCCATGGATCTGTCTGTGATCAGAGCCAGGCTCAGTAAGAGGAATCCCAGATATTACAGCTCAGCGGACCAGTTTGTCGCTGACGTCTATCTCATGTTCCACAACTGTGCAAAGTTCAATTATGTAAGTTGAAAGACTGTGATTCTGTGTATGGGTTAAATTTAGAAATTCAGTTGCAGTTGATGTGACAGAAACACCTTGTATCCCTTAAAACAGCCCGACTCTGAGGTGGCTCAAGCAGGCCGCAGTCTTGAGACGTTCTTCACCTCCAAGCTGAAAGAAGTCTTCCCCGACAGAGTTTTCACGTTCTCTGAGGTCGATTCCGACAGCGATGAGTACGATGAAGTTTACAAGACGGCTGAGGGCGGTTTCCCCTGGCCAGAGAGGAGGGAGCAGTCTCACAGGAAGAGGAAGAGGAGGCAGTCCCTCAAATCCAGGCGACATCACTTCTAACAAGCGTGTTTGTTACTACTCGTTTTTTCAACATCCAACAAGATTGTTGTTTTTTTTTTTATCCGTAATGTCGAAGTGGCCCCATGTTGTGGTTCACAGTACAAACGACTGAGCTGTCTTCTGATGGCATCTGAACATATCTAAAACAAATGTAAGAGTGGTTATCATTATTCCTACAGGCAGTTCAATTCGCAGCACAATTGGAAATAAACCTCTCTGTATCTCAAACAAATTTTGATTAGTTGTTCCTGCATCCTAGTTGAAGTAGGCAAGTCGTGCTATAACTGTAGCTTTGTATGCTTTTGCACTATTGGTTTGCGCCAAAAGTTCTTTGTTGCTTACCCTTCTATATATTTACATATAGAAAAATAGAATTCAAAAATATAAAACACACTTTATGTCAGGTGGTGTATTGTAGAGGAATGATGTAATGAAATGTGTTTGCATCTCTAATAAGTGGACTGTCTTTTTTGAGGGGAACATAGCTGGAATTCCACACTAAAACCTTTATGCTGTAATTTGTCATACTTATTAATGTTTGACACATTATAAATGTGTCCCTGTTTAGAACAGGATTTTGCATTAAGTGTAAGTTAATGAAAGACTGCTTTCAATTATATTAGATTTTATTCTTGATATATTTTGGGCCTTTGTAGTCTTCTACCCTCCAGCAGAAGTCATGTCCACTTTTATGCTTTTGACCTAAGTAAAGCCAAAGTTAAGTGACTCAATGGCTCATGTGAGCCATTGAGTCACATGGCAAATGTCTCATGAGAAAATGTGGTCCTTTTTCAACAAATTTAAGAAAATTTGCTTTTTTACAAAACTATAAATAAGTCTCTGTGTACATTATGTACTGTGTCAGTGTCTACTGTATCTAAACAAATCTTGTACTCTTTTATGATCTGAGTTTCTCAGGCTTGACAGAAGCGTGAGTTATTGATAGTATTCAGTATTGATTGTTGTAAATGATCAAAATCTCCTCACTATTCATGGAACCATACTGTTAGAAGCTTTTCATAGCAACACTGTAGAGAAATTGCCAGTTAAAAATGTGATTTCCGTGCTCCCGGCATATTAAAGTAGACTTTGCTTGGTTTGTAATCACTGCATAAATGGGTAGTGAGTGTACATGTGATACTAATTTTTCAGTAACAATAAGTGTAGCAACATTTCCTTTTGTGTCAGGGAAAACTGATAGAGCATAACTACTGTCACCATTAATTGAGTTTGATTTTTTTCTTTGAAAACACACATGCACATACAATATATATTCAACCAACCATTTATATCTTACTTATGTGGGGGGGGGGGGGGGGATGGGCACACTTTCACACACTTTTAGAATCATCAATCAATCTAACATGCATGTTTTTAAAATGTGGGAGAAAGAACCCACACATACATGGGGTGAACATACAAACTCTACCATTATGTTAATAAAATACATGCAACATACAAGTTTTGCATGTCCTCCTCTTTTGTTATTCACCCTTCATGAAATGGACAAATTATAGATATAGAATTACTGAAACCAGCACCTTAAGTAAAATGTTTGGGAAACCATCAATAAAACTTGTTCATTGTTTTGGTTGAAGTATCTTCGACTTGCATTTTTTTTTGTATGTGGCTCTTAAATCCATTTAGGGTGTTTAGCATTTGACCTAACTGTGCTTCCTCTCTGAATTACTGTGGTCATAAAGCATGCTTGTTTTGGTTGACAGGGTGGTCCGGGTGTGAAGAAGCCATTTGTGCATGTTTTATGAAACTCCTTTTTGTGAAGATTGGCAAGCTCGCCTTCCTCTGTAAAGCAGACTGAATCACACACATAGCTGTTCGGTGCAGAAGTAATGTCAAACTTTAAGCCCACATTAATCTTCATAATATCTTAGATATGCCCCGGGTTTCGGTTGATTTACCGCTCAATGACGAGCTGATAACGAGCTAGCATTTTCAAACAGAAACATTTATGAAACTCCCACTGAAAGCAGGCGCTCATCATTTATAAAAGAAATCAGGGACATTAAACAAAAGTTTAGATACATTTTTCACGATTCCATTAAGAGTAATATCAAATAGATATGTTCATTATACAGAATTAATGTCATGTCTATTAATATGCACATTGTTCTTTGAATGGAACTGTGTAGCATATGCTGTGAAGTGATGACGTTTGCCCTGTAGTTCTGCCTTTGTACCCTGTTCAGTGTTTCATTTTTACAATTTAAAAAGGAGAAGGCTAAAAGATGTAGCAAATGCATCAAGTATAAAGAAGAGACAGTATATTACCCATACAAATGTGATGAAAACATGAGGGGATTGGATTTCTACTTAAAACAATTACTCAAAGATTCTTTAAATTAGCTCATAGATACAAAATATTGGATGCCCTTTCACTTTGGCCTTTCATAGTTGCTCCTCCTATGGGAATGAACAATCATAGTTAATCAAATCGGCCTTCCACCAAACTGTCATGGAGAAACCAACGCTGAGAGTGGGCTTTTTCTATTAGCGAAAAAATACAATTACATTAGTTTTTAAACGTAAATATCTAATTTAAAAGACACAGTCAATCAATGTCCTTTATAACATTAATCTTTGTATTGACGTTTCTACTGTGAATCTCTGTACAGTAAGATCAATGTTCACAGCTCAAAGCACAAGCGTTGTAATGGTTAAAGCTCTACATTTTATTAAACGTGACAAAGAGAAAGGCTTTCTTAAAAAGCTTTTTAAAATGGCCACTTCAGAACAACAAGCTCATGGCCTGTATCAGACAGTATAAGTCTGAAAAGGATGAGGGAGACGCTGCTGGTTGGACTTTCCAGCACAGACATGACATCATCTGCCAGCCTGACCCTGTATGACATAACGCACTTTAAATGGAAAAGACATCCTGAGAATAAGAATAAATGTTTCCCTGCCCATAAAACCGTATTGTGAGTCTTCGCTGAGAGTAACTTGCTATGTTTTATTTACATCAGGCAGATTTGTTTTCATTCATTGATTTTTCTTTGGTCAGCATTAGGTATCGAATTTTGTTGGGTTTAAAAAGTTCGAGGATGAAATAGGCGGTGACAGCATTAAACAAAGACTCAATTTATTTTTTTGACGCAGAGGCTTTCAGGCACATTCTGGCAACAAAACTGAAGACAAATAACTCCCACATGAAATTCAGGAGACAGTGATAGTAATATCACCGCTCACCATGCTCTAAGACTGAGGCAAGCAAGGAGTTATTTAATTTCAACACTAATATTTGCTTTAAATTATATGGAGGGATTCTAATGTTTAGTGTGCATGGAAGTTGTTTAGCAATGCCTTTAAAAGGAGAAGAGGAGGTATCACATTACCTTTTGAAAAAAAATACACTTCCTCAGAATACATTTTTCTTTTTTAAAGACAAGGTTTATTCTGCTGTGGTTTAGTTAAATCATAATGAAGTAATAAAATACATGATTATAATCATTTTTGTATACACATACTCATGTTTTATATGTACAATGTGTAAGAATCACAAAGAATAGAATGATGAGAATGTATCTATGTAAACTGGTCAAAATGGTCTTGGTGAAAGCATGTATTATTATTTTTTTTAACAATAACCATTTATATGTTCAACCCTTTATCAAATAAATGAAATATGTTGTACCTATTTTCTGTTTAGTCTATGTGCTAAGGAAGTAAAAAGGTATCGGAATTTTGTGAACGATTACAGAGCGCTTAATACCTTAAAATGATCAACAGAACTTGTGAATTTACCTTAATTTTTTATGGATGTTACACAGTGAAAAAAAAAATGTGTATAGTAGAATAAACTACATATTACTGTCATTACTGTAAAAAAGTGGAATATTGAAAGTTGAATAAAATATGTAGGGTATGAACATTGCCTAGTCCAAATATAAAGGCTGGTAAGTCAAGGCAGGAAAAAAACAGTTTACATTTTTTACATCATGTTCTCCAGCTGGTACAATTCCTGACTAAACACTTTACTGGAGAGTATTTTCAGGTATGTAATGACACCAGTAACATTGTTATCTCATAGAGGATAGAATAAATGGATTGTTTGGATTTTATACTCTTTCATTTGCCCTCACAATGATAACATTAAATCAGCTGGATGAGACTCAGCAAAACCCTGTTTTTATTCTTTTTTCTTATGCGTTTGAAATCAATAATGTGAAGGTTTTATCAAAGCCTACTGTTTATCGTTACATGGATGGTACAGACGGTAACAGAATGTGAGCTAGAGTGTTTAGGAATTGATTTTCTTGTTTGCATCTTTGGACCTATCATGATACACAGTAAATGTGGTGGTCCTTGTTCTATGGATCTGCTAAACCAGAACCGTGCTGTTACCACAAAGAATGAACCATTTCACTTGCTGTCTCAGCTTTTTCACTCGAGTAAACACAGCATTAAAAAAACAATTAAAAAGACAGGTTCTCATTGATGAGGGACAGTTCAATTGTGTAGTGGAACTGTACCTGGCTTAGAGGTCTCAGTTGAGGTGAAGGGAGTCTATGAATTACACAATAACATGGTAATAAGACAGTTTGATAGACGATGCAATAGGTTTCATCTCGCCATCTGCTTAGTGGAAGCGGTTGCTGTGTCCTGGAGGAGAAAGCGAAGTAGATGACAACAATGACCAGGAATGTTTCCTCATTTCCAACAGTATCCTGCAGCCGATCAAAGAAGCATGACTGGAAAAGAGACATTTTTGATCAAATAATGCAAATGTTGACCAAAACATGAGCATGTAGAATTTTTTTTATAAGTAATGAATTTTCTGGAGCCTATTCCAGCTGACAGTGAGCAAGTGGCTGGGTTGATGATAAGAGCAACATCTGGTTGTTGTTAGTAGGCTTGCAAATGAATAGACTTGCTACTTTGACCTCTAAGGTATATCAGAGTGATAAGTATTTGATTAGTTTGTGAGCAAAGATGGACGTGGTCTGTTTGGTCGATTCAACACAGTTTACTGTTTAATGGGTAGGTCAGTGTTTTTTGCGTTGCTCTGCTTCATTCTTTTGTTGCATGCAAGTGCAGTTTCTGTCATCACGGTGGGAATAGAGCAGGATATGTCCATTGCTCAGTGCTGCCACTTCCTGAAGGTGTCCACTGCAGAGGACTATTTGAAGATATCCAACCCTTTCACAAAGCTCATTTGTCATGTGATGGATTACCTTGAGCTTTGCACTTGCCACAGACAAAACGGTGGCACCAAGTCCATGGCCAAACTCATCAATAATGTGTTTGGTAGAAGGCAGAAGTCTATCTGATGGAGGAAATCAGCGGTTACAAATCAGAAGACCTATGAAGAAATACTGTTTGTTTGACTAGATACTTCTGATAATCGGTTTAGCCTACTATACCATGAGTGCATACCACTGAGACTTCAGAATAGCAGCTTTACTTAAATTAATCTCACTCTTTGGAAGCAATTACAAGAAAGTCATGTGTAGTCTGCATATGGTGGAGGTGAGATCACATGCAAATATAAACGTTCAGGCTATTAAACTAATGTTAAAGATTTACAGAGGAGTGCTATGGCCCTAACTGCTTGCCAACTTATCACTGATTTGTAATTATTTGAGTTTCCAATTTTTGCCAATTGTCTTTAAGTTTTCCTTTCTCTCTATGATTTCAAACTGTAAATTACAACACTGAAAAGCAATGACAATCCCATCTCTGATAGTCTGACTGCACCATGGCATTGCCAAAAGAAATAGTAAATGAAAGACCACCACCTCGGACTCACTTTGTCCACCAGATGGAGACAATCACCACGAAAAATCTAGAATGCCAATTAGAAATACCGTTGTTAGATGGTAGCATAGCTGTGAAATGAGCTATAAATCCAAGCCCCCTCGCTAGTTACGTCTGTTTAAAGCACAGAAAACAAGACGTCAAGTTCGCGCAAAACAAGCAAAGGCGGGTGCAACGCCGTCCGCTCGGTGGAGGTTTGTCCCTATCCGCTTTCCCTACTTCCTCCGAGGATAAAAAAGTTTCTGCGTTTGTACCAACCTGCTGGTTCCAAATGGTCTGCTCTAAGAGGTAAGAAAGTTTTTTTTTCTCCTCTGGACCATATGACAAACTAAGCTGCTGAGTGTTTTATTGGTTCACGCGCCCCCTTTGGTGGCTCCTGCTTGTAGATGTTCTTTGAAAACGAAACGATTGTACAACTCCACAGTGGTTGCCATGACAACGGTTCAGCACTGGAAACGCTACCAGAAATGACGGTCAAATTATGTTGCGTTTGTTTTTCACTTTAAATTAATAAAGTGGTTGAAACATTGACGTTTTTTTCTGCAGTTATAAAACAATCAATAGGTGGTTACAGCTGTCTGTTTTCCTCTTTTTTGTCAGGCATTTCCAGTTAACTGCTTATCTAATATTGCCTGCTAAGTGCTTCATGTTGTTGGAGCTAGCTTACATGAAACATTTGAAGGCTCTGAATCTCAGTGGTTGAATTATTTGCAGAAACAAAAGAGAAGTTACAATGCATCGAATGAATATTAGGTTACTGGAGTGATGATTGTGTTTTTTTCAGCAGCTCAAGAAGATGAACACTAATTCTATGATCTCTTACTTTAAACCCACCAACTGAAAAAATGTCATTTTAGTATTTGGGCTATTTGGAGAATGACTCCAGACATATATGTATTTCAGTTCTACCAATGGAGACTTCTTCAGGTTACCATTGGAATGCTTTTGATTTGCTCTTGTTTCTACGGTGGCCTACATTTTTCTGATGCCTCTCCTCCTCGCTTCCCAAGGCTGAGCCCAGCAAGGGCAGAGATTAGCCTTAACCAGGATTAAACCAATGAGAAAATTTGAATTTGTTGGCCCTTATCTCCTAGCAACATGTGGAGTGCCCTGAGCAAATGGCAGAATTTGATCTTGCTTCCTTATGGCAAAGCATGCTTTTTTTTTTGCAAATAGACACTTATCAAACATGACCATTAAAGACAGCGGGAATACTTGTGGAGGGGCATTTAAATGGTTTGTTTATAAGGAAACAACATGCGGTACTTGTCTGCAGAACAGAAATAACTGCTTAACCCCTTAATGTCCGCTCTCCTTTTACATAGAATTTGAAAGCAGAGGGATGGTTGAACTTTTTCCTTGAAAAGTTAAAATGCTGCTCATAATGATTCCACTAAAGAAAGGTAAGAAATGACTATAAAAGCAGTCTTTAAGGAATGATTGCTGACTATTTATATCTTCATAGTGAGTAGACTCTGTTTCTTTTAGAAGGCGGACTTGTCATTTACAGCTTACCATACAAATGCATAATGGCATCTGCATGACAATCTTTATTTTCATGACTTCATTTCACTCTTCCTATGTTTTGGAAAATTAATCTTACGGGTTAAACTTGCACGTCCCTTTCTCCGCCTTATAGTCCATCAGCTGTCAGGTACAGTATATTTTTACAGCTCTTTAGTAAGTCTATGTCAACTTTAATTACCCAATCTTGATGTGTTATTGGTATATCACATTTAGACCACAAGCTCTAATAATCTTGCTGATTACTATTAGGATTCACTCTGAAACTTAGCGAAGTAGATGGGATATTTGCATTCTAAACATGCAATTTCTTGCCTCATCAGGTAATGTAATTCCATGCTTCATTAGGACTGTGAAGTTTATCATTCGTCATCAAAGCCAAGCTGTCAATACATGATTAAGTTTCACATGAGTAAAATGTAATATTGGGGCTCAAGCAAAACGGATAGCTGTGTCTTTTTAATTGCAGTTAGAAATATTTTGTTTTTGTTTGACTTTCAGGCCATATTTCAGTGGTTCCTTGTTACAGCTGGAGGCTACGTTACACAGCTTAAGCCTTTATTTATTCCACCATTTATGCAATTAAAGAGAGCAAACTTCTGAATGATTCAAATGCACATTATCTTGACGTCTGGATGGGATTGTTTTCTTTAAAAAAAACAATTCTGCAGAATATTTAATTTCTGTCTGAAATATAGTTCTGCGATTTTTGGTGGACTGCCATTGTCCTGTGCAATTTATTTTATTTATAGCTAAAATAAACCCAATAAACAGCAACCTTGGGGTGCAAAACACAACCTTCCACAAAACACAACAGATCAAAAGACAAAACAACTACAAATATAGGATTAGAAAACACAACAACACGCACTCTTGTGTTTTGCACCTCAAGGCCATCATTGGAAAGATAGATTTAATTTAAGAAGCATTTGGAACCAATGTGACTTGACCCATTGGTTTGTCAACATTCGGTTTTAAAAGCTCCATTTTGGCATTCATCCATCTCAATGTTTGTTTTTTGGGGCTTAAGATTGATACTTAAGCAAAGTGTGTATGCGTGTGTGTACATACACACGTCCACACACGCACGCACACACACACGCACGCACGCATGCACACACACAAACAAACACACACACACACACACACACACACGCTTGCACACATGCACACACACACGCACATATATGTATATATATATTTATATATAAAATAAACATTGCTCTTAGAGCAATTATCTTTTGAACTACGATTTATTTTCGTAAAGGTCACCAGCACTACGTCAGAAGTGGGGAATATTTAAAATATTACAGCACTAAGATACTAGTTCATGATGTTGTCAGTCAGCTTCCATTGGAGTTGGAGATGATCTGATACCAATATTGAGTGATATTGCTCATTAGGACACTATGTCCTCACTAACATTACAACAACACCTTTTGCATACGTCCATGGCTGCAAATAACGTTTTTCTCCATTATCATTACATTTAACGGGTAGGATTATTGCATTAATTATGCATGTAATGAAGTCCATTTTATATTTGATTTTGAAATTGTCAACATATTTAGGAGGTCTTTGACAAATTCCTGAGATTCAAGGCAAATCTACGTTTACTCATTGCTAACTAGTCATTGTTTGATTATTAAAAACTCTATTTGTGAGGCTTGAGGACCCACTGCAGGGTCAGAATGAATGTCTATCATGTCAGGTGTTTTGGATGAGACACCGCTATGCAACCTTTCCAACCACACTTACAAATCGTGAAGCCTGGGTTTTAGGAGAGTTTAAATTCCTTACTGCAGTCTTATTGACACTGAGGGTATGAGACAGAGTAAATACACATTACCTTGAGTTAATGAAAGACAAGCAGGGTTGAAGGGAGAAAAGTTACACAGGATCAGAGTTATCTATCCCTTGTGTGTCCCAGTGTCTTTGTTCCAAAGTGACATTGACTTTGTGTGCCTATTTGTTTAACAACATCCCCCCCAACACTTGCAGCCATTGTGTGCTGTGTATATTTATTCACACCAGTGTGAAAAGGCAAAAATTGGTATCTGACAAAATGATGGAGAGGTGAGGCGAGTATGGACTTGACCTGCGATGAACTGTCGGCTCTAATTACTTCCTGCCGAAACTAGAGATGAGACAAACACGGTGTAAAAGGTGGACGTCAGCCGGTGTCTCTGGACCGTGCTGTGGACTGATGTTTGCTTGTCTTTCAGTGTGTCTGTGGGTGAACATAGGCCATTACGTTTTGAAATCTTTTCTGTAATTTGTGCCATGTTTGCCACTTTGTTGTTATTTTAAATATTACTAAGGCCAATTTTCTGTCTATGTCAGATGGAATAAAAGACAACCATGACTAGAATTTGGCAGCACTTAATCAAGTTGAGAAAAATGGAACACGAGGACTCTGGACTTGGTCCTTCGGGGAGTTTTTAAAATTTCACATTATTAGTATACAGGTTCTCTGAAAGAAAATGCATCCTTAATGGAAAGCATTTTAGGTGCACAGGTGGCACAGGGGCAGAATTCTTACCCACTACTGTTGAGTGGTTGAAATCCCAATTGTATTCCCAGCAATTTTGCCATAAAACAAACACTACTGCCTGTGTTTTGCAAGCCACTAAATGATCACATCTTTGTCCATTAGTAATTCTTGAGCCTAATTTGGAGCGGCTCCACCGAAAAGTGGTGGGATTTGGCAAAAATAGCCGGATCTTGGGGCTCTTGATGATTGCCTCTCTTTGGGACTTTCCTCACTATTAGTAAAAAAAATCCTGAAGTGTGTCCTTCATCAGTGATGGTCACATTCTACAAGTTTATTACGCCTTAAGTTGAATGGTTGATTGCATTTGTATTTAGTCTATGCTAAAAAAAGAATATTTCTATTGAAAGAAATTCAAATGATGAACTAAAAAAAGCTAATAAAGTAATTTATTTTGTCTTTTGACCTATTGTAAGAGTGCAAGAGTACAGATGAGCTCTGCAGGGATAAAGCAATTTAAGACTTGGTCTGGGTGACCTCCCTTCAGGTCAGGCTTCTCACCCTAACCTGACCCTAGTGTCCCATTTCCTTTTCCATCTTAGATTTGGGGCAACAACCAAGCACTGCTGTCTGGGAGACACCTGAGGCGTACGAGACCCTTTTCTAGTCACCTCAATTCCTCAGTGATACACTCATCACATGCCTCTGTCTTTCACAAATGAGCTCTGATTGAAGTGATTGGAATTTCCAGAGGCTGTCACAATCGTTTTGATTAGAAAATAGGAGATAATGGGAGAGACAGGCCTGTTATGAGAGCCCTGTCAGGGCTAAAATAATGCATCAGAGTGAAGAGGTTAAAGACACAGCTTCCTTGTTAATAATTAATTGCTGTGCGTGTGGTGGATCCACTTCATCGCTCCCAGTCATCACTTGATAATTGCTTTACATTTAATTTGGCTTCAGAGACTGTTTTTCAAGCTGGCTATATTGTGCTTAAAGACACCAGTTTGGTCATAAACCACCCAATTAGAATAGAAGGAGTGATTCTTAACACTAATTGTCGTTCTCTGGAATTAACCTCAATAATGCTAATCTCTGCTATATTGTTGAATGCATCATTGAAATATTTTGTCCACCACTTGCTGATATGATATAAGAGAAAGGTGTGTTCACAGGGAATGTTAATGCCTTTGGGTTTTAGAATCATAATTATTCAGTACTGATTGAGGTATAATGATTATGGATTACATTTATCTGGGTCATCAAGGGGTGAGGGAAGGGTGTGTTTTCTTGTTTGATTGGGAAATTTGTTTAAATCGTTTCGTAAGTCCCATTGCTTGTACCATGACATACCTCCTCTGTCCAGGAGGAGATCAGATTTTACAGATCTATCCTGGTGACTGTTTTTTTTAACCCCACCAACTGAAAGATCTTGTAATGCACAGCTCATACTGGAGGTGACAAGCTTTTTTGCTCACATACTTGTAGTATTGGATAATTTCCTTCTCTCTTAATGTTAAAGTATCACTTTTCTTGCAGTATTGGTTGTCTCCTATTAGGCTTACCCCCTTTTTTCAGAAATATAGATCATTTTAACAGCTTCTCAAACTTTATGGTAACACTTGACTTGACATTACAACTATATAAAAAAAAGAATCACAAACAAACAAATCCCAATGAGATTATTCATGACCTCCTTCATTTGGTGTACTAACTTTAGTAGGAATCTAAGTTAGTTTGTCAAATATATATGTTTTTCTTCATTATGGGCATGTCTATATTTCGCCAGCCTGATTTCAGAGCAATAATTATCCCCCTCTACCTCCACCTGTAGATGACATAAGCAGATGTTATTGGACTAGACATGAACCAGGTGTCCACGCTGACCAGAACTACTGGATTGAGGGATGTGCCGGTTTTACGCCTGAAAAATGATGCAGATCTCAGGGTATGGATAGCTTCAGTCTTAGACTGCCTACTGTCCTACTGCTGCTGTGGGACCATCACGGTGCAAGTTAGAAATAGTTGCAGGTGACCTACATACTACAGTATACCTTATGTGTACCAGAAGAGGTCCAAACTACACTTTTCTGCTGCATAGCCCTCTTTCGTTAGGGAACCTGAATGCTCCCTTTGCTAAATTCAAAGCAGCCAGTGCTCAGTCTTGCATGCACACAGATAATAATCAAGTTAATTAGACCTGAGATTGAACGAACTGCAGCAGCAACTTAATCATTCATAACTTGATTAAAAATACTATATTCTCCAGCTCTTGAGACTCGAAAACTTTTAGTCGAACCAGAGAACTTCAAATTAGGACATACTTTAAAATCCAGATGTTAGAACAATTTTTTTTAGCATTGAGACTGAAATGATGCTGCAGCTTTAATAAAAAATTCCTGGGGACTTGGGTGACATTTAGAAAGTGTAAATTACAAATGTATAGCTGTTTTTCTTTCTTCTTGATCCCCACAGGAAATTTATGAATTTGGTCGGAAATTGGGTCAAGGCAGCTTCGGAGCTGTTTATGAAGCCACTCACATTAACACACAGACAAAATGGGCTATTAAAGAGGTTTGCAGGCCAACGGTGAGTGAATTTTCCATCCTGCTGGCAGGCCTGATTTCATAAGATACGATAAAGTGTTCGACTAATAAGAGAGACCCATGTAATAAAAGAAAGAAGCTGCTGTGATTCAACTTTCTGTCTCATCAGGCAGGAAGTACGATGGTTGAGATGTTGGATAACGAAATAAACATTCTCAGACAAGTGAATCATACTCACATAATACATCTAGAGGCAATCTACAGCACAGCTGGGGTAAGATTGTCAGTCCTTTCAATGACAAACTTCAAGTGAAATTAGTTAGTAAGTATTCACCATGCACATGTCCTAGTCTCACAAATTAACTGTATTTCTCTTTTTGTTTGTAGATGATTTATATGGTCATGGAGCTGTGCAGTGGAGGCGATCTGAAAAAGCTGCTGCAACAAAAAAAGTTCTTTACAGAGGACGAAACAAGGAATGTAATATTTTGTTTAGCTGATGCTGTTGTTTACCTTCATAAAAAAGGTAACAGTGGTTTACACTTGTCAAACTGATTGACACCATTCAAAGACACTGTGAATGTTGAATGACCTGCTCATGTGAAGCTCTTTGTAACCCAAGCTGGGTCTACAGAGCACCCTTGTACTTGTACTCTTTCAAACACAACACTCACACACTATACAATGAGCTAATGCAGGATTTTCCCTGATGTGCTGTAGGGACAAGGTGAATTTTTTGTTTTTTCTCTGTAGGGTGAACAACAGAGTCCTAATTTCTTTAGATATCCCTTCCAAAAAAGATCAGTGACTTGTTTTGAGGGCTCAAGACTAACTTTCAATTTGGCTCATTTTGTGTTTATATAGAATTTTGCTGCCCTATTGCATCAACAGATAATTCATAATACTGTCAGACTTACACATTTTTTTCCAGACTGTGCCTTTAGAGTTGTAAAAGTTTTTACTTTTTTTCTGACTAATGACTAATTTACAGGACGTCCAACTTAAACAGATTTATATATTATTTAACTTTGATATATGAGTTTTCTTCTTCTACTGTCTACTGTCTTAATCTGCAGAAATGGCCCTTTTTATAGAACCATTTTTGCCCAATGACCAACATTAAAATGTTCTCATCTTTACTCAGATTATCAACATTTTGCTATTTAGCTTAATCTATAACTGATCATCATCCAGACATTCGTACCTGACCTTTGGCTAAATTGAGGTTTGGGCTCAGAAATAATGCTTGTTGGTAGCAACAGGATGAACAGCGTTTTTCTACTGTAGAGATTTAGGGAGGGCACAAGGTAACACAAGCAATAAAAGGAATGCTCTCCCAGTAGGCCCTGTCAGCCTCTCTGTTTTCAATGTGGTGTGGGACCCTCCAGGCTCTGAGGTGATGTAGGTAATATTTTCTCACCTGAAAACAGTCCTGGAGGAAGTCCAGGGCAGTCCCAAACAAGCACAATGGCGCTGGCACTGAGGTGTTACTGCTGACTTATCCATATGCTATAAACACGTCTGAAATATAGAAGTCACCTGTATCTTAAGTTTTGGGACTTGAAATTGTTAAATTTCTGAAAATAAAATTGAGTTTTTAGCTGCCAGCAAGCATTTCAGAAAACAGCATTTACAGATGAAAGATGTTTTTCTGTAGATTAAAGGAATGATTTGAGTGCCACAAAAAACACAAATCAGTGAAAGAGGAAACCGTGTGGGAAACATAATAGAAAATCATTGTGTAAAAGTTGTTGTACAGAAGAAAATAAATGAAACAGTCAATTCATATTTGTATTATTCTGCATAATTTAATTTATTAACATAATTATTTCAAACTGATCTAATTTTGTCTCTTCAAGTTTGTCTTCTTCCTTACAGATATAGTGCACCGAGACTTAAAACTTGAGAACATTCTTGTTAAAAATTCGCTCGATGAGGATGATGGCAGGATCGATATCAAGGTAAAATGGTGACACAAACTGTAAAACTTTTATCACTTCATCTATTCTCTGCCAGACTGCATACAAGCCTCAGTTGGGCACTTCTTCTGAAACCACTGTGTCCTTGATAGTTGATAAAGGCTTTTGAATACAGCTCAAGATAACAGACTCCCTCTGGTTTCTCTTTATTTCTTTTTCCAAACAGAGTCAGAACTATGTTTTTAAATAATTTACTGCACAGCATGCAAACGAATTATGATGAGTGATACCTAGTGTACTTAAAAGAAGGCAAAGCTATGTCTGTTTCAGTTAAACATTGTTACAGACAAACACACCACAGCACAGCTAAATGTGTTGGGAGGAACTCATGCCACTGAAGTCTCTGCTGTCTTTAGGTTACCTGAATGGTAATTTTGTCAGTTAATACTATGGTTTTACTATTATGAAAAATTTATTTTATTGGAGCAGAGTGACAGTGTGAATATATACTTGGAGGTATCAATATCATTATACTTTAGTTGAGCTCGTTTGAATTGGCTCATCTTCAATTGCCATCAGACAAAAATGAAAATGATGTGAATAGCGCAGCATTATTGGAAAATTCAACGGTTACGAAAAACAAATTTTCTTAAAATCAGTTTTACATGATGGTTGGGGAACCTAAATCCATTTCAGGCTACTTGAGTGCAAACGCAAAATTATTCAGTCTCCAGTCGCATTATCTGTTTGCTTTGAGAGCTTTGATTTGTAACATTTTGATATAAAGCTTACATTTTCACATTTTGACCCATTTTTAACAACTTATCTTGAAAATGACTTTTGTTTCATAAATGTTAATGTTTCATTGAATTTTTCTTTAACCTTTTTAAATAAAGCCATAGCCACTTGTAAGTATGCAGATTTTTGACAGATTGAGAGTTTCTCTTGTTTAAAAAATGCTTTTCTCCTTTGAGGTGGCAGACTTTGGCTTGTCGGTGAAGACGGGTGGTGTAGGGATTGACAACATGATGACGGAGGCCTGTGGGACTCTCATATATATGGGTATGTTGCCTATATCTTACACACTATGGCAGTAGACCACATATATGACTACAGGCTCTTGGATATTTTGGATTTAAGCTATCAATCAGTAGCACCTGTTCTTGATTTAATTTGACACTGTTATTCTGTTTCACAGTTGGCAACAAAACTAATGAGCATTTACAGATCTCTAAGTTACACAAAAGGAATGTGGTGAGATATTGCATCTGATCAGTTTTACCTCAACCGAGAAGGTTTCACTTTTTTTGAGAAACCTGCATTGCTCCAGTCCACAGTTGCCTTCTTCTCCCCCAAGTTTATTGATGCATTGCTACCTTTACCGGCTCATTACTGCCACCAGCTCTGACTTCCCTCCACATGTATAATTTATCTTCTGCGCTTGAAGTAAACAAATATTTTAATAAATGCACTGTTAGAGGTTGATATCCACAGCATCGTGTTTGCCTTTTAAAAGGAACTCGCTGTTCAGAAGCTGATTTAAGTAAAACCTCTTTGCCACTAGGTATTCTGTATCATTTATTGATGTGTTATTTTCAGCACCTGAAATGATGAGTGGTCGTGGTTACAGCCACTGGTGTGACGTGTGGAGCATAGGAGTCATTATGTTCATGCTGTGAGTAAATGCACATACATTAAATCATTTCTGCACATGTACAGTATGTAAACTAGGAATATAAATGTCTGAACTATGTATCTCTTTAGACTGTGTGGGGAACCTCCTTTCATTTCCAAGACAAAGGAAAACCTGCTTAAGAAAGTTCTCAACAAAGAAGTCAGATTTACTCAACCCATCTGGGACACCATCAGTGATGCTGGTGACGGCTTGTCTTTACTTACACTCGCATAAAGCCAAATCAGTATAAACGTGCTCAGTTTAGTTTCTACCTCCTTCAATAATTGACTTGAGTCGATCTCAACAGCAAAATATCTCCTGACCTGCCTTCTGAAGGCGGACCCTGCCTACCGCATGTCTGCACATCAACTACTAGAGAACCCTTGGATTACAGTAAGGCATCGATCCTGCTCGCCACATTCATAAATCTAACATCATAAAGACTTCTTACTGGGTGTTTTGTCCAACAGGGAGATAATAGTGTGCCTTCTGGTCCGACCACTGTGCTGGATATGATGCATCACTACCTGCAACATGAAGAGAGTAATAAGATTAATTCATGTCTTTTCAACAATAGTCAAAGAGTTAAATTGTAGCACTAAGTGAACCTATTTAACTACCTGTGATTTTAAACACACAGGACTGTTTTATACAATGCCGTAATACATTTAAACTATCCTTATATATGAATCTTACTGATAATCAGCACCAGTTAGGAAAATAACCTACCCAGGAATGAGTGAAGTTATCAATAAGGGCATACTAGTAATATACAGTGGAATGTATTTCTGTTACTGTGTATGCTTCAGAGGAGGATGAGCCAATATCAGGACATAAACTGAAAGATCCATCTAAGCAAGGCTAATGTTTTAATTTTTTTTTTCCAATAGTGAAAAGAGAAAAAAAAGCACAGTGCAACTGGCTTTAGCTCTCAGATGTTTTGCCAAAGTGATTCATAGGTTTACTTTGGTTACCATAAATATGATCATGAAACGGTCATAGTGCTTAAAATGTGTAAAAATTGTGTCAACCTTTCATTTTATAACATGTATATCCTGCTATCTTGCACGTGCTCGTCAACTTTTTTAACTTGACTTTGACCCAAAGTTTGGTCTGCAACAGTTTGTTACTTGTAATATTTTAAGACAATAATTAGATTAGAAGACAATTATTTCCATTACACAACAGAAAAAACATATCAAAGGATAATTCTATAAGTTTCTGCTTCATTTTGATATCTGACATATCAAACCAGGGACCCTGGCTCAGGAGATCTCCTCGCTGACCTCCTCTGAGGACGTGCTTCAGCCATCCCTGGCTTCCCTGGTTCTCTCAGACACAGACAGCAACTGTGAGAGCCAAACGAAGCTCAGCGCTGAGAGAAGCAATCGCTCCTTCCCCAATGCAGCATCCACTAGACTGGTACGCAATCTCCTCACTATCAAATGCCTATGGATGATAAAAAACCCCCCAGAAAACTCTTCAGTCTCTTTTAAAAAATTTGACGTCTTTATGTAAATAAGTTAGTTTCTTTTGTTTAGTTAGTTTTGTTTGTTGCTTTTTAACTGACATTATGAGTTCTACTTAAACGGACGAAGAAGTGTTTAGAAAGTTGTACATTTTAAAATTTCATAGTAATTAGAGTTCTTCATGTTTTTTTCTATTTTTACAATAGATTTGCATATACATTTTAGTGCCCATCCAGAGTTTTTGTATAATTACAGAAATTTTGATTTATTCACTTATTTAATTCTTACCACAAATAAATAATTTGATTCATTTTTCAAATACAGTTGAAACAGTCAAACACCAGAGTAGTCATTAGTCATATGAGGGTATGAAAATTGGTTATAAATCACTCATGTTTCCCTTTTGGTCATCTTGTATCATGAATTAAAGACTAACAACTTTGTTTGCATCCCCAAGCCGGACCATGGGATAAACGGCTCTGCTTCACCGGGACCACCGACCACATCTCAGGTTTGTTGATTCCTTCAACTCTGTATGTTTTCTTTTCATCCACTATTTACTCTTTACTCTAATCACTATTTCCATCTATTTTGTATATGATGTTCGATATTTGATTAAAACTTACTTCTGTCTGCCTGTCATACTGAATGACCACTAGATGGTGCCAGATTTTCCTCTTACAGATGTCATACAGCTGTTTTACATGAATGTCAGAGTTAATTCTGTTATGTAAGATGAATATGAATCTTATCCCCACAGTCCTATTCGGGTGAAAAACACTCCACACAGCTGACTGCAAAGCATCGGAGATCTCAAGACAAGAAGGAACTCAGTGCAGTACAGAAACCTGCCTCATACTCCAGTAAGACGGATAACCAGAGACTTTCGTCCTCCAGTAAAGTACGACTGGCCTCTGTAAACCAGCAACTAGCTCAGAAACCAAAAACTGTTCCGAACACAACAAAGAAACGAGTCACCTGACACGGGATTTGTTACAGTGCATAAAAACCAACACCACAGTTGGACTTTCGCTAAGTATTTAGCGACTGTTTTATGCAGCTGTATAACTTTTCAAGAAATGTGAATGTGACCTCTGAATGTTGGACCACTTTGTGGTCATGGACAGAGACTATGCAGAGGCTGTAGTGTCAAATAGATGAAGATGCAATTGTGGAAGTAGCACCTGAGGTTTTAGCCTTGTAAGAATTTCCTTGTGCCAAATGAAAAGGCCTCAGTCTGTGCTCCCAGATGGGGTAAACGGCTGGGTTCGTGCTTAACACAAAGCTGCTTAAATTTAGATTCACACTTTTCTTTTAGAGGTGAGCAAGAGGTTGAATGTGTTTTTCAGAGAATACTTTTATCCTTCAGAGTTTGCTGAGTGAAGGGAGATTCTTCATCTGCTTACTGCTGACACCATATCTTATTATTGTCTCCCTATTTAGAAGTGGTATAAATGTTTGCCTTTTATGTTTGTATGTGTTCTATTGGACCTCCACTTGTATATGTGAAAAAGTGCCACATAGGAATCTGTTGAACTCAACTGTGTAATAGCTTTTAAAATAAAAGGCACAATGACAATTGAAAAGAAAAGTTTTATGAGTTGTTGCATGCCCAGTTGCTGAAAAATACCGAATTGTACAAATAAATGCAAAAAACGATTTAAATCATTTTTGGGGGTTATCATTTCACAAAACCAAAGTGAGCAAAAGGGATTTAGTCTTTTCTTCTCTGACCTCTCAATTCCAACATGTTGTATATGCAGTGACTGCACCCACTCAGTGTCAAAACAGAAAAACTGTCACACAGGCTGGTTACGCTCCATCTGAATGCAGAGGATTGGGACCGAGGGCAGCCACGGGTCTAATCTCGTTTGGAGGCCATTGAAAGCAGCAGGAGCTACTTTGAGGGCACTGCCATTCAAGCACAGGTTTTTCTGCTGTAGAGAGAATAATCCCCAGCATAGATACAACATTAAAGTATCCAAGCATAACACACAGAGGGTGAATTTCAAATCCACCCATTTGCATCTTGAAGTGAATGAGTGCCAGCAATGGGGCCCCGTGTTCACGCACAGGCTTTGTATTTTTTTAAGCGTATTTTAGAATGCGGGCTGCTTTGTTTTTTCTCTCATATCTTCTGTGAAACAGAAAGTTTATGAGAGTGCAGCACTGACACGTTAGTTATGTTTGATTAAAGCTGCTTGCATGACATGAAAATACTGCCGTGCTGTATGACTTGGGTTTGCTCAGTTTGTTGTAAACAGCAGATGGAGCTGTAGTTAGTTACAGAGTTCATTTCCAGGAGTTAATCTGAGAGGATGCTGCTGCACCTAAAGCTACCTAATTTTGAGCATGAGGAAGTGTAATTAGAACTGATTGCTTGAGCCACTGCCCATTAAAACTGAGATTTCCATTTAACTTGTCTATAATTAATAAGTTGTATGTTTAGACGTCCATGCTTCCTCTCCAGTGCTGTCTTGTAGACCAATTTAAAGATAATTTGCGAAGCAGAAGAAGACAATGGTTTCTGTTGTGAGTTATTTCTCCTTCTGCAGGACCACAATCCATTCGGGTAAAGTCTCCTGTTTGGCATGTTTTTAAAAGAGATCAGCTTATGTGCCTCATTGTCTTGCACCGTGAGAAAACAAATGGAGCAAACAGAATATGACCTACAGTAAATTACAGGAGCAAATGTTACACACCTTGGGGTTGAAGAAATAGAAGCAGACTTAAACACACCAAGAAACTTTGTTCATATATCAGCATTTTCATGGATCCTGACAGCAACTTCAGATGTTGTTAAACTAAAGCCGGCTCATATTTTTTGCCAACAGACATTAGCCTCCAGTTCGACTTCCAACTGCCTGTGCCAAAACAACAGAGAAAAGAGGCGGGAGAGGAGGAGGGGGCAGCTGAGAGGCTGTACAGTGGATAGGTTAGGGGCGTGAATTCGGGACAAAGCATGGAGGCAAAGGAAATTAGAAAATTCGTCGGGATGGAACGAAGGATGCCCCCCCCCCTCAAACCCTTCCCCCTTTTCCTCCAGCAGTGATCCTGACAGATGGAGGTAAGGCTGGGTGGATTGATGGGCTGAAGGGATTAAAACTCTGCAGTCCCATTTTGGAGCCTAAACAGAGAGTCACTTCACCAAACGCGGGGTGCAGAGAGGCACTTGTGGCGAGAGTCGCGGGGCGTGTGAAGTGGGTGTTTGCAGGCTAATGTCAAAAGAGACATGGATGCTTCCCCTTCTTTGCGCCCCCCTCTGCTTCATCCACCTTTATCCACTGAGCAGTGAGCTGCTTGAGGGGGGGGCGAGAGGGGCGGGGGGTGCATCTCAATAACCTTAATAGAGCTCCCTTTAATTAATCAGCTCATCTGCAGAGGCCCGATACCTGCAGCTGACCCCCTCCTCGCCTCCCTCCGTCCTCACCCCGGCACAACATCCTCACACTGCCGCTGTGACATTGTGGTAATGAGCTAACACAGCTACAATGTCATGGAAATGTTGCAGAGACGTTATCTGCGGGAGTTCATCACACATGCTGCTCCTGATCCCCCTTCAGTGTTTGCGCAGTGTGCAGGGATGCGACACCGTCCCTCGCAGTAGTAGCAGATACATATGGTCAAATGGTGAGAGGAATCCATGATGGCACTATTTCCATAGAGGAGGGAGGGTCTGGGCCTGCGTCAAGTCGTCATTCCAAACAGATGGCAATTTCAAAGCAAGCCTCATCAATCTTTGTTGACATTAGCCCTTCTTTAAAACTACTCTTATTCTTGGGATATTTGCAGTTATAATACAAACTGTAAAGCTCATTTGAATAACGAATTAATTACTGAACACACTGGAGTAAATACCTCTTTTATAAGTCCTTGTTAAAAGTGAAAAGTTCTTGACTACGGTTGGATGGTGTGTTAATTTACAGTGATATCTAATCCCAAGTTACTTCACATAAAAGGCATTACTATACATATTTTAATAGGGAGGTGCTTGTTTTCCAAGCAATTTTCTGCAAGAGTACATTTTTAATTTATTCATATTTAATTTATTGGTCTCTGCATACCCGCTCAGTAAAATTAATCAACAGCATGTATGGCCCTCTTAAAGCCACATCTCTGTTTGCCAGGCAGACAGGCAGCCTCTGCATTATGATAAGCTCCCCTCTCTTGTGCACAGAGCTGGGTGAAATGCCCCACATTCAGTCAAGCAGGAGGATGCCACCCCCAAGGAGACTCTTCAGTCCCCACAAACAACCTTTTAATCAGAGGGAAAAAAGGAGTGAAAATGAAAAATGTGCCCAGCCTTGAATGATCTGAAACACTGCAATTTCAGTGGATAGTGACCATCGTTGCCACTGTCAGAATGCAGTCCGCTGGGGACAATACCTTTCCCCCCTCTCTTTCTACCACTCTTTGCCCTCATACTCATCTGCCCTTGAATTGGTTTTATGGAACTTTGGCAGTCACTGGGACCAGAGTTCTTATCACCTGACTCCACTACACACTCCAAATACCCATCGACCCGCTGACACACCTTAAGGAATGATCTACACAACCTTACACATGGAAATTATTTCATTTAATTACAGTTCCCCCCTCTGACAAAGCAGGCACAAGGGGCGAACAAAGGAGCCCGGACAACAGGGGCATTTCTCTGGTGTAATGTGCATCACGTGTAATGAGCAGCGGAAAGGTCATTTGACACATTTCTGCCAAAATGAATTCATTTATTTCAAGCACTTAATTCTCAGTCACCTCATTGGTGCATGGCTTGGCAGTGCACTCAGAGGGTGCATTACCACAAGTGGAGGCTTAGCTTCCTTCCAATGGTGAGTGGTGACCACAGGTCTGTGGGAATGGCTGAAGAGCAGAGAGATAGTGAAATGGAGTGTGGGAGATCCAATCACCTCCTCTATCATTGGAAAATCACCTCCATCACCTTCAGCGTAATTGGAACATTCATTACACACCAGTAAAAATGCAGGTCGCCATTAGATGAGCAATTTAAAAGTGGACTTCTGGAGAATGAGAGACTTGAGGGGTCACAATGCAGGGTCACAGTCGAGTAAATAATGACAATTGGTCTCAGGAGGTTTGGAGAACCACAAAGTTCATGTTCGCAAACCAGAATACAACTCGGGACAGGGGACGAGAATTCAATCATCAGACAGCCAAAAAAACATGCCAGTAGTGCTCTCTCAGCATTAAGATTCTGACGATTAGAAGGCACACTGATATTTACCATTACAAAAATAACTATAACTTATTCATAAACTGCTCTGGTGCGTAACGAGCAGTAGTAAGTATGAAAAACCTTGTTTTTATACTGACCTATTAAGTGATAAAACTCATGTCTTACTTGTGTATGCAAAGATTCAGAGCAATTTGATATTTGAGACAGGTTTCAGTGAGAGGAATGTTGCACTCGCCTGGCACTGGAGGCTCAGAGCAGCTGAAAGTTGAACCACTTTGTTTTTCCATTCATCCTGTTTTGCATGTTTTTTAAAGATATCGTTCTCCGGCAAAACTTTTCGCTGTATGCAAGACCAGAGCTACAAGGTTGATCAAAGGAAGCATATTTAATATGTTTAGGTTTAAAAATGGAGTGGTTACTGATGATCTGGAGGTTGTTTTATAAAACTTTGTTCTAAACAAAGAAACCTTAACAATGGTTCATTGGTCTGTGTGCAGCTCGGCTCCGCTAACTGCAAACAAGCCTGAAGTCAGTCATGATTTGAGATTCTCTTTGAGAAATTTAAACACTCGCAACAAATCTTGTTATTTATTTCTTTGTCAGGCTCCCACTAATGACCGTGTTTTTGCAGGAGAAAATGCCTCTGCATTAAATATGAATAAACGCATCATGATGAAACAATTAGGCAACAGTCCTCTGTGTGCGGCTGGTTCATGTTTCTGGGTGTCTTGGAAATGTTAATTAAAACAAAACTGTAGAGTCATATTCGCCAATTAGAGTTATTTTTTTGGGGTGGAAAACAAAAAGTAATTAGCGACGATAACCCACAAAGGTCCTCACATGTCAAAACTGAACCTTTACAATTGATGAAATGGGATATTAGTATGATCACCTTTTGGATGAGGTGCCCGGGAGTTCATGGCGGGATGACTCGTGGCCTCAAAGTCAGGAGCATATGTGCTGCGCTTTCCTCTCAGCCCTTTTACCACTCGGGAGGCAGATTGGACTTCTCGCTCTCAGCTACTCCACATTATTGTCCATTATCACACCGTGGTCCACATATAAGGTGACAGTGGTGGTCTGATGGAGAGGAGACAGGGAAACCTGGACTGCAATAACATATTATTAGCTTTTTTCCACAGCTCCACTTGGCTGGATTTACACTGGATATCCAGAGACCTCTGAGGGCAGCCCACTGTCACCACGTTGCTCACCAGCAAGGCAATTGCCCGGAATGCACAAGTGTGCGCGGAGTGAACAGTTCAGCACCCACACGAGGCCTGGCTGGGTCACATGTACGCACACACACACACACTCTCACACACACACACACACACACACAAACAGGGAGTGCAACTGTGTCTGTAATCAGTGACAGGCCCTTCCCAATTAGCCTCAGTGTGCTGTCATTCTTGTGAGCCGCCGTAGTACTACAGAGTCTCCTTTTGTTCTGGAGACTGTAAACACATCTCCTGCCATCACTGTGGCTCCACAATACAAGGACAGACAGACACACAGACAGACAGATGCTTTCAGATTACATATGAGGGAGAGTGTATCAGCTGCTCCTTTAAAATGCGAGGTGCTCTTGTCCTTGGTAATGTTAACAGTCTCCCTTGTGACTGATGCGCCTTGTCCCAGCCCTGTTTATAAAACAGTCAGAACTTCGTTAAAGGACAATAACATCAGCCAAGCTCAATTATGGTGACATTTTGCTGACATGCAGATTGCCTCCCCTCAATCTTTTTTTATGTAAAGAACTGGTGTGCCAGTCACATATGGATGGATGAACTTTGGGAGAATCAATGGTATTGATGAATCATAGATCATACAAGTCAACAAGAGTGACACTGGGAGGGTGAATTAATCGCACATGGAAAGTCAATATTAAATTGTAATCATAATCAGACAAAGTGAGTTATGTATAATCAATAGCACAATTATGATCGCAGTTGTCCTTGCAGTACAGACAATGAGTGCTTTAAACAGGCTGCATTATTTTTTTTTATCATTAGTGCATAAGTTTGTGGAGTGGATGGCAATGCAAAGAGTTATCATTGGTGGCTTATATCAGACAGGCTACTGATGATAAAATGGAAAAGTCATTGGACAATGCCAAATGAATATACCAGACATGATAACCTATGTATGTAATAGAAAAAACACTTAAGATAGTTTTTAGATACTATGGAAATCAGAAATCACGCCTTGTGATTTTTGCAGTGGGGCCTTATTGGTTGGGCTTGGTTCCCACAGAGGCCATCAGATTGGTTCCTGAAGACTTTAGACTTTTGTATACATACTAGGAAAGAGGTGAGGTACAGTCTGATTGGGTTATAATGACATCATTAGTCTAAAACAGAGGCAAAGGAGATAAACAATGGCACAGACTCACACTTACAAAGGAAGGGAGAGTATGCATCAAAGGGGAGAACATGTAAAGTCTACACAGAAAAGCCCCAGTCAGGTTCTGAGCCAGCAAACCTTTTCCAGGCTGCTGGAATTGAATCCATTCTTCCCTTTTGCTTATACATCAATGGTAAAGGCACTTTGGCTGCAACACAAGTCAAAAGCCCAAACAATCCAACTCTGTGATGATCATGTAGAGATTTGTTCTTCTAACAACAAGCTTTTTTTTTCTACATCAATTTCTAAAATAGAAACTTCTGATGCTAACTGTTGAGCTGAGTGTGGAGGACAGATTTTCTTTGGAAGAATCCTTCATGAACACCACTTTACTGAAGGTCTGGAGTAAAAGAGAAGAAGATTGTATCAGTGCTCCTCAGTCTGTTAGATTTTCCTCTGCCCTTTTAATTTTCCTATCCCAGCCAATCCAAGAATCTACTGGGTGAGAGGCAGAATGCATCCTGGACGGGTCACCAGTCCATCACAGGTCCACACAATGGCAAACTCACATCACCCTGGAGTCTTTGTAAAAATGCCTGTTAACCTAACATGCATGTTTTTAGGCAGTGGTTGGAAGGGGGGGTACCCAGGCAGAACTTCAATTACATGGGTATAACATGCAAGCTCCACACAGAACGGTGCCAGCTGGAATTCAGAAAAGGAACCGCCTCGCTGTGACGGCACTAACCACTACATGGTGTGCAGCCGCCTCTTTTTTATCTCACTCAAATTGAGACAATCAAACTGAATAATACACAGATTTTTTGATTTACAATGATTAAAATGTTCCATCTTCACATTAAGGGCTTCCCATTTATGACCACTTTCATCGTTCAATTCAAACAATATTAGGTACTTTTAAATCTAATTTAGAGATTTACAAATTGGTTTTAATGATAATAGCCATTCAGAACAGTACACATGTAGACACAGACTGATGGGCACGCATCAGTTCAATCCACTGCCATCTTTTCCTCTCACACGCCCACACGGACAAACACACGAGGATTTATGCAGCTCAAAGAGGTACTAATATATTTCCAAGAGTGAATATAATCATCAAAACAAGCTGTCTCTGCCTCTGTGACTACAGCAATAAAAAGCATTACATATGACTCACATGATGTGAGGCCCCCTTTTCCTAATAAATTCTCTGGAGAACGCTGCAGCTTCTGTCATCTTCATTAGAAGATGACAGCTTTTCTCCATCAAAAAGCTAATCTCAAGGATGTGTAAGCATTTTGAATCAGAGGCTGTAATTGCTGACCAATGAATAAACTCAAGGCTGCACTGTCTTCACTGAGGCCTGATTTTAATTGTGTTGACTGGATTTTGCTACAAGGTCCAGTAACTTTAGAGACCTGACAGGTACACACCCTGAAACTCATCCTTCCCTCTTTTATCAAGTTTTCCCCTCATTATTTCCACTTAACTGCTGACAGCTCAGAGGCCACAGATTTTCATTTTCATTTTCCTTCAACTGTTCGGTGTGCAACAGACACATGAAAATGAAGGTAACATCCATTAGATAAAAGGTGTGTGAGGTTGCAGTCTTTCACCTCAGCGTCTCCAGATTAGACATCCTTTTTGCCCTTCACTCTGTTGTCTTTCATTCACTGGCTTTTGTTGATTAACCATAATGAGGTGACTTACCATAGTCGCCCAGTTTATCCCGCTCATCCCCTCCCCCCTCCCACGGTAAGGTGGTACAGATAAAAAAGTCCATCCAGGCAGCCATCATCGGGGGTCAGCACAAATCAGATGGAGGGGCTTTCTTGTGTCTGCCAGCCGACACTTTCAAATGTTAATGGATGGGGGCGAACAAAGTTGAAGTGGGTCTGAAAATGCTAATTGTCTCTAATTCATGTAAATAGGTTTCTTAATGGAGGAATTAAGCATTTTAAATATGCAATTGGAGGCAATCAGTCCTTTCATTTGCTGGGGTGGCACAGGTGTAGTGGATTGAAATTCATCTTTCACACAGGGTGTCTCATTTTTCATTTGGCTGTGTTCAGGCATGGATGACGGGGACTGGAAGAGAGAGGTCCTCGCGCGCTGCATTGTGCAGATATCGGTGAGTGAAACACGTCGTGAAACCTATAATTGCGTTGTTGTTGAGCGTATCAAGATAGAGGGGAAAACCAATTAATGAGGGGGTCCAATCAATAGTGGTAAATACAACCAGCACAGAGAGATAATCTTTTCTCACCACTTACAGAAGTCATACGCAGCATGTTGCGGTATATACGTTTACAGGCATCATAATCTATGTTTATTTGAATCTGTTTTTATTCACAATATGACGACTACCGTATATAAAGCAGCACACACAAAGCAGTTAGGCCTACCTACATATCACAGGCAGAGCAGTCGTGAATAGATAGCTCTGACTTATTATTCTGATCATCTCAAACAGACAATAAAGCAGGAGGTCATGCTTCCGCATGTAATAACATGGTGTAGCGGCAGGACCAGAGACGCAGGGAAACGCACACAGTGTGTACAGGCTATGAATCAAATGGGCAATGCATTGTCTCAGAAAATGACTTATTAGTCAATACAAAGGGGGATACTGTGTCTTTGAGGTGTAAATATCCATGACTCTGTGGAGAAGAGAAGGCAGCCCTGGTTAATGAACGAGACAGGAAAAACCTTGTTTAAAAGGACAAATCAGATCACAAGATTTCAAACCCATTAGCTGCTACTCGCAAGGAATGATAATAATGATAAAGGATGGCAGGGCCTTTTGATTTCGGAGTAGCAAAGTGTGTTGTCTTGGGAAAAATCTTTTCCTGGAGGAGAATCAAAGAGCAGTTCATTTTCACACTGACCTTCAGGGCTCAAAGCGGCCAGACAAGGGCACAAACAGATTGAGAATTAATTGGTGCAATTAACATTTTGTGATTATAAGGACTTCGGATCAATACCTTATGCAAATAGCAGTATTGATGTGCGGCAGAAACCTTGTTAATTGTGTTTGGCGAACAAACAGGCCCCTATGTTACTCTTCCATAATGGAACAGGAGGCACGGACAGGTTCAAACTGCTGACCGCTTTAGATGAGCACGGACATGTAGAGGCTTCTCTTGCCTTCCTCATGCCAGCCCACCTCTTCAACCTCTGCTCGAGACTCTTAAAGGAAAGTTGCAGAGTTTGAAGTTCTCGGTTGCTTTTAAGTTGGCCTTTTGGTGGCTCTTTGAAGAGGCTTTTAAAAGCTGGATGAAGATTCTTTTAGTGTTCTGTGATCACCATGCTCATGTCAGGCAGCAGCAGATTACACAAATGGCCTCCTACCTCCTTTTCTCTTCGAGTTTTAAAAGTGGGAATGGGCATGTGGAGAAGAATTGAAACACTCTGTGCTGACAGCCATTGAAATGAATTAGTCTCAGCTTTATTGCTATGGACTGGATTTTCCACTCTCGTTATTAAACTGCGTTAAAAATGCAATTTCATTTCAGATAAGTACCAGTAATCCTGTTTGCAGACCACAGCAGATGAAGTTAAATATAATTTAAGCAGAAACGGAAACGAGTGGAACAATATAATCACTGAAAGTGAGATTGAAGTGATGCTATTCTTACCATTATTATTATTTTCATTCCTGTCAGTGTGGAAAGATACTTTTGAGGGCAGCGGCAACAGCAAGCAGAAGGTGAGAGAAGCGGGGAAAAAAAAAGATACTCAATCCAAAAACCATCAGAGCCAATAAATCCGTGCTCACTACGACCCATTGCTCTGCGACGATTGGCTTGCAGGTTGTTGCGTGGCCTTGAAGACACACACAGAGCTGGGGAACAGAAAAGGCATCAAGCTAGCCTTAATTAGCTGAGTTAACAGGAGCTGTGAGCTTTTTATGTGCAGCGCGTCCTGCTGTGGCTGTGGTGTTGGTGTGATGAAGCTGAGCTTGATGTGGGCTTACCGTACCTGTTGTTATGTCTTGTCTCCTGCATTTAATATGCTGATTGTACCATACATATAGGTTTACATGTAAATCATGCTGAAACCCCCTTTTCAGCATGCTTTGCAATACGTTTCTCAAGAGTGTGATTGCAGGTTTTATAATAAATATATAACAACTGCCATCATATTAGCCGTTTGTTAGTGGGCTAATTACAGTTAATTCTTTTCAATTTTGGGCTGTGCTCCTTTAGGCATTAGCTTTAATCTCCCTGGTGATGAAGTTGGTGTATTAAATAGAAAGTGCAAGAGGGAGGGGGGGTGGGGATGTGCAATTAAACCTATCACACTTATAACCATGTTAAACATACACCACCACTTATTGAGTTATTCGATAGCATTTGGAAACTACAAATGAGTATTGTGTCTGGAAATGACCAAATTATCCCTGTGTGTGGCTGTGTGACGGTGACACAAATCTTAGCTGTGTATCTAAATAAGTTACACACATACAATGTTAAAGTGCAGACTGGGAGCTTTTTTTGGGACAAAATCCTAACCAAAATTGAAAGTATACTCTTGAGGGTGTGTAACATTGTATTTACAGACTGTAATTGGACACATGAATGTAACAATGTATTTATGGGTGTGTTAATGTGATTTTGAACTTTCGTGAGACTTGACATGCAGGCTGTGATTGCCTTATGCTTAAAGACCACAGACACTGTGTGGTTTGTGAGTTTGCTTTTGTAAAGAACTCATCACAGGCTTTGTTCTATGTATTAAAATTAAAGAGGTTTATACTTATTTTTCAGTGATGGACATTTTGGATAAGCTCACACTAATTTCTTAACATTTATGATATCCTTTGAATTTCAAAAGACTTTACATCAAAGAAGTGAGAAGAGTGATATGAGCTTGCACAGCTCTAAATCAATCTATCTATCAGTAACCATCAAGATACTAAAACTCAAACTGTAATATGTTTTAAATAAAACGTTGCACAGCATAGATGTGTGGTGGTCAGCACTTCTGCCCAACAGCAAGAGGGTTCCTGGTTGAAATCCCGGCTGAGGGCCTATCTGTGTGGTTGACCGTTAGGGTGTATTGTTGTTTATCTGTATGTGCTCCACCTCCCACCCAATGACAGCAGAGATAGAACATCCAGCCCCCTGTGACCCTGAGCTGGAATGAGTGGGCATAGAAAAGGGTTGGGTGTTGCATAGTCTACTTCACTTGATCAATTTAACATTGATTTAAGCATATTTGCCTAGCAGAAGCCCGGCTATGGACACTTAAGTGTCGCTTTGAACATAAGACCAAGGGCAACAGTGAGGTGAGTGATGCTACTTTAAAACATCCACCAACAGCAAAAGGTCATATCATTCCATATATGTCTCTGCTAATGCTACAAAAAAGGTTGATCTCACATCACAATGATCTCCTGAGACATTTTCCCATCCAAAATAATTTATTTAAGAAGAAGAAGATTCAAGAAGATTTTTTTTCTTGAATCATCCTTCAAATGTGTAAATCTAAACATGTTTAACTACACACATCTGTTGTTTTTCTAACAATTGCATGAGTTATGTACCATATATGGTATTTATGAATAGGAGCGAGTCCATGAATATCTAACTAAACATGCAGCGTTTAATAAAAAAGTAAAGTGAGGGCAGTGACTTTGCTAAAAGTAAATGGAAGACATGACCAACGCTCACAGACCTGAACATTTTAGAACAAAAAATACATAACACTGCTGGAGCGTAATCAGAGAATGGAATGTTCTTCACCTTCTATAACTCCTGAGTTGTTCTGGGATTAGAAAGACTGTTTTAGGTCATCGCCCATCTGAACTGAGAGTGACTGTCCAATCAACTTTGCTGCATTTGGCTGAATCTAAGCATACAGTATATCCCTGTAGACTTCAGAATTCATCTGCTACTTTCATGTGTCACATCATCAATAAACACAATTGACCCTGTGCCTTTGGAAGTCATGCATGCTGATACAATCCCACAGGCTCAACGTCTTTTACAGGTGATGTTGTGTGCTTTGGGTGGCAATCAACCTCTTTTTCTTAAGGATATTTGGAATTTTCATCAGGAATTTTGTTCCTGAGCCTAATAAATGGTTTGCAACTTTTGATATGTGTCACTGGTCTCATGTGTGTTTTCTTTATTTGTGAGGACTCTTCTCTGAGCTTTTTTTACTTGGACAGATGTATTAAAAGATCTAGTGACCACACACCAGTGTTGTCTTATATGGACATGCAGGTCATTTTTTAATATCTTGCCCCGCTCAGAAAGTGCCCAACAGTTCATTTGGCCGCTCCTAGTGTTCTCATTAGTTCTGTGAAAGATTTGTTTCTACAGTGGGAGGATGGTCTGCTTCACTTTTTCTGTTGGCTCGCAGATGTGGGCCCAAAGCAAAAAGTCTGAATCTGTCTAACCAGTGAGAAAATGGATGATATTTAGTACTCGTTTTACAGTAACCCCACAGCAGTGGAGCAGCAGCTCTGTTCATTTTTAATCTTTGCGTCTCATTGAGATTTTTGGCTGAGTTTTACTTGTCATGAGAACTAACGACCAGTTCACAGGGCAGCATTAACATGAACAGTGAGGAAAAGGAATTTTGAATAATTTCCCCTTTGAATCATTGTGGGTGACATGAGAGTCCTGGACACTAAAACAGTTGTACCTGTAAATCTAATGAGAGCATAGCCATAATATCGTGAATATAGCACAGCAATAATATCGTGAATATAGTTTCAAATGGGCATGGGGCAGGAATATATTCCCAAATTTAATGTTATCTGTTGAGAGTTATGCTGTGTCACCTGATGACAGTAAGACATCATCAGCCAAAGCCAACAGGCTCCTTGACCACTGCATTTCTGGGGGTCTTACCTGTCTGTTCCTGATGGATGTCCAACAGTTTTCTGAGTAACATCTCTGGATGGAATGTATTGTTATAAAATTTAATTTTATTGATTTACTTCAGTTTCACTTGTAGATACACACGCATAAACACCCCCCCACACACACAGACACACATGCATATACATACATTTATATTCTTACTGATCTTTCCAATGCAAAATCCTTTGCATTGGAAATCATGATATAATTAACATGGATCTCCGATTGTTACTGGGACATTAGTGACCTTTTGGCC